GTTTGGAGGAAAAAAAATACAGCTCTGAAAATCGAAAATGTCTGTCCTACGGTGAAGCATTCTTTAATACGGCAGTAAACTCCCTCAATTACTTAAACGCAAACGAACTACTATTGATGTTTTTCTATTATTCCATATGTTCTTCTTTTCTAACAAAATATTTATGTGTACTCTATAAATTGTAATGTTTGTACATTATGTTGAGTACCAAAATAAACGAATAAATAAACTTCCATTAAATCTTCACTTACCGTAAAAAATTTAATTATCTGGAGAGGCCGATACATTTTCTAATACATATTTTTGAGCGTACATTATTCTAGATCCAGGCTTTGTAGTTAAACCTATGCGGAACCTTCGGTAACACTAACTTCTTTAATTAAAACGGCAACACTGGTAACTTATTATTTATGAAATCTTGAAGAAGCTGATATTGACGTTGAATTAATTTTGATTCGGCGATCAGGAAGACAAACCCTTCTGGGTCGTTCATTGTAATTTATGAAGAACTGGGAATCTCACGAACGGAATGCCTAAGAGACATATCTACACGAGACAATGTTTGGTAACTTCTTCTTATTCTTTCGGTGCCATATCAGGTCCCCCTAACGTTGGCAATCACATTGGCGAGTTGATCATGGTCTTCGGCTAATCTGAATAGTTGTTCGGCACTGCGTATTCCGGTTGATTTTGCCTTTCATTATAGATTGAAGGATTTTGTAGCGGTCCCCTCTAAGAACATGCCCCAGGTACGATATTTTTCGTATTTTGATTGTGTTAAATAACTCACGGACGGCACTTGCTCTATTTAAAACTGCTTCGTTGGTTTGCAGGGCGGTCCAAGGTATTCGGAGCATTCTTCTATGCAACCACATCTCAAATGCTTCCAGGCGATTAATAGCATTGGCCTGGAGAGTCCAAGTCTCAGCACCGTATAACAACACAGACCAAATATGGCATTTGATCATTCTTTGGCGCAATTTGAGGTTTAAGTTATCAATGCAGAAGAATGGTTTCATTTTCATAAGTTGTGCGAGCTGTTTCTATTCTGCATTTGATTTCTTTATTTGGATCTAGTTGCTCTGTGATATAACATCTGTAATGCATCGGCATGTGGCTAGCGACTGAATACTAACGATGTGCCGAGTACGGTTTGACTCGAGTCAGACTCGATTCCTGCTTTGTACTCCCCTACTTGAATACTACTTTATTTTGATTCGAGTACGCCGGACTCGATTCAGGTACTCGAATCAGAAAGAATCGATTCGTACTCGCAGACTCGATTCTATTCATGCGAGTCCAACTGACTAGAGAGTTTAGTATTCGAGTTTGGTCAACTAGTTGGTATTCGTAAATAGTTTACTTAAGCAATGAAGTGGCGCGGCGGGCAAGTTTGAACCTGCAACTTTTTGTTTTGTTTTGACACCATGTAAACGCCAACTTCAGATGACGTTTCCGTCTAAGCAAGCTCTGAAGATGAACTCTAAAAATGTGGATAAAGCAATATTGAGAATGGTGTTTGTTGATTTTCAGCCGCTTCAAGCCGTTTTCAAGAGTATACACATACGCTTAGCCCTAATTATGAGCTACCTTCGCGAAAGATTCTTTCGGAAAAATTAATTCCGGAGCAATATTCTTTGGCAAGAAAGGCTACGCAAGAGATGATTAAAGTAACAGATTACATTGCTTTGACAACAGACTTCTGGACCTCCGATAGCAGCAAAAGCTACATGACCCTGACAATTCATTTCATTTATGATGGCAAGTCTAAAATTTTAACGTTATCCACCAGGGAAGTTAAGGATGCCCATACGTCAGAAAATTTAGCTCGAGAAATGAAAGATATATGGGAAACCGAATGGAATATTTTGGACAAAATCATTTGCGTCACAACTGACAATGCGGCTAATATAAAAAAAGCTGTTATTGATATTCTGCGAAAACGTCACCACTGTTGTGTAGCTCATACATTGAACTTGTTGGTTCAGGATACCATCAAAAACAACGAACTATTAATTCAATTGATTGAAAAGTGCCGAGCAATAGTAGCCTATTTCAAAAGAAGCAATAATGCTGCATATAAATTAAAACAGGTTCAAGAACAAATGTAACTGGAACCCTTAAAACCAAAGCAAGATGTCCTGACAAAATGGAATTATATGCTCGAACGTCTCGATAAGGTCTTTCTGCTGCAACTTCTTCATTACCTGGCTGTCCGGATAACCTTAACGTTGATGAATGGATCGAGGTGCACGAGTGCCCTTGTGTTTTAAAACCTGTGGAACAAATGACGGGTATTATATCTGGCGAGCAATATCCAACGTTATCCTGCATCATACCTCTTATTCGAGGAGTACAAACGGCACTAAGAAGTTACAGTTCCAATTCCGATGTCGCCAGCAGGTTAAACATAAAATTACTGGATGTTTTCGATAGAAAATTTGGCGGTCATGAGATCAATAAAACTGTTGCTGAAGCAACATTCATGGATCCAAGATTTAAAAAAGCTGGTTTTGGCGTCGAGACAAATGCAGATAATGCTCAAAAATTTGTTATTGACGAGTTGATGATGTTGGGAACACAGGAATATCAAGCTCAATTCCAGGTACCTAATATATTTCTACTGTCATCTATCTCACGTCTCGAAACACGTACAACTTCATCTTCAGATTCCCAGCAGATAACTTCAGAGGAAACTGGTGAGAATTTATGGGAGCATCTAGATAAAAATGTATTAGAATATTCGAGCAAAAACATCAGCAATCATCAAGGTGAAACAGAACGTAGAGCTACCGTATTTGGATAGAAAAGCCAATCCACTTACATTTTGGGAACTTCGCAAAATCACCAACAGCGGCGTTTATAAAATTGCTTTAAAGTATTTATGCATTCCAGCCACTTCCGTTCCTTCGGAACGAGTTTTCTCTAAGGCTGGACTTTTAGGTTGACCAAATACTGTTTCTGAACAGTTATTTCAAATAACTTTCATTTTCTTATATCTATTTTTTTTCATATTCACTTAGTTTTGTACTGTATTCTGGGTTCGGTTTAGGTAGTTTAGGTGGATACCTTACCAAACTTTGTATTCTAAGCTATTGAGTTTGTGTGCCTACTTAATATAAAGTTAAATTTTTTTTTGATTATAATGCTTATTATATCTAGTATTAAAAGAATTGTTTAAAGCTGTCTCAAATTAATAGAATGTTATCTAGACTCTAAGTTGAGAAATTTTTTAATTATTTTCTATGTTTTTCTAATTATCTCCTTAGAATTCCTATGCTCTTTGTTTTTATTTAATGTTTATAATTATCTTTCATTAAAAATATTGACTTACCCATTATTATTGTGTCAATGCTTAACCCTCTGGACTAGAATTTCCAGACTCGAATTTTGGACTCGAATCCTGGACCGAGTTACCAGACTCTAGTCCGCCCGAACTCGAGTCATATTCGAATACTAAACATAGAATTCGAGTACTGGACTCGAATCAGGGAATCGAGTCACGATTCGAGTACCATATAAACTGACTCGGTACAATTCTACTGAATACCATAAATTTTGTTTTAGCCACACTCATTTTTAGACCCATGTTCCGTCCTGTCGTGTTTACGCAATCCAAGAGCTCTTGGAGACCTTGGATACTATCACATAAGATGACCTTGTCTTCGGCATACCGGATAGTATTAATCAGTTCGCCATTGATCTTCACTCCATGGTCTTTATCTTGTAGAGCCTCTTTGAAAATCACATCTGAGTAAAGGTTGAATAATAGCGGCGAGAGAATGCATCCCTGCCTGGCACCTCGCTGAATCTTCCATCGAATCGTACCACTGCTTTGTTGGTTCCAGTACAAGTTCTCTATGATACGTAGATCTTTACCGTCGATACCTGAGGTCCTTAATATATTAAAAAGCTTATCGTGTTGAACCCTATCAAATGCTTTTTCGTAGTCGATGAAGGCCACATAGATGTCTTTACGTTGGTCGTGACACTTTTGTATTAGGGCAAAAAGTGCCTCACGGGTTCCAAGTGCGTTTCTAAAACCAAATTGGATTTCGTCTTTCCCAAGGGCTTCTTATTCTTCCATCTATTATGCGAAGGAAGATCTTAAGTGTGTGGCTCAAGAGGCTAATTAACCTGTATTCATCGTATCTCTTCGCCTGTTGTTATTTCGGAAGGGCTATAAAACAGACTTCAACCATTCTACGGGTATTTTACCAGAATTATATACATTGTTGAAAAACTTAGTTAAGGCACTGATGTGGTCTTCGTGGATCATCTGCAAGAGCTCTGTTGGAATGTTGTCTGGTCCCGTTGCTTTCTTGAGTTTGGCTGTTTTTATAGCATCTAGAACTTCCGATTTTAAGATTTCTGGTCCTTCATCTTGATTTACATTAGCTTGTATATCCACTATAGTATTAGCAGTCTTTTTGTTATATAAGTAACATATTCATCAAATTGTATTCGCGACTGGCCACGCTTTAGATTATTGACGTAGGTAGTTGCGAATTATTTTTTAAGCATTAAGGTTTTTTTTACCAATATTTTCTTAAAAACTACGATTCCACTCCTGTAAAATGCGTTTACAAATATAACCTTGTAAATTTAAGGGGTTCACCATGTTTGATTGAAAAAAGTATTTGAAATATTTGGTGTATAATAGTATCACCTTGTATAACAGTTTATGTTGTTTAATAAATTAAAATTTGTGTACTATAATTGCTGTCCAGTCAACTCAAATCATAATTTAAAGATCAAATGTACAAAGCACTTCAAACATTACCGGAATGGCGGTTTAATAATTAAGCCAGTAGTAGACTAACATTATTTTTTTCTAAAATTCAAAATTCAATAATTTTTTAAGTATTTACGTTTTTTTATTCCTATTTTAGGTTAGCATATTGGGTTGCGATTTTCTTAACACTGGTGATCATTGTAGGAACTGGCAGATATAGGAACTTCTGGAGTTCTCCTTTTCCAATTGGTTGTTTTCGTTCCAGACAAATCGAGCGACAACGAGGCAACATCGGATTGCGAAAGCGAACCCGGGATTCCTCTGAAACGGAAGCAGAGACGTTCGAGGACAACTTTTACTGCCCATCAACTCGACGAACTGGAGAAGGCGTTCGAAAGAACCCAGTATCCGGACATTTACACCAGGGAGGAGCTCGCCCAAAGAACCAAACTGACTGAGGCGCGAATACAGGTTAGAACGCCCTATGCCAATTCGGCGGGATTGTAAACAATAGTAATGCTCTCTATACACAAACCGTTAAATATGCTAATAAAAAAGTTTTATGCAATTAAAAATATAACGTAAAAGCAGAAAAGTATTTACCTCATATCGGGAAAATAGAAATATATAAGTAAATTTGATCTTATTTTATTGCATTAAAATCCTACTGCTGAAAACGCACGCACCCTTATCAGTGGAATAGACTTTAAACAGTTATAATATATAACAAGTACATTCCTCTAATCCTTCCTCATTCAAAAAGTAATAGTAGAACTCGTACAACCATAGGAAACCTGGATCCTGATATCCATGAAGCTTACTATGCAATTCTAAATTCGAAAGCCACTTCTTATTATCAGATTAGATAAGGGCGTATTTTGGGCTTCCTTTGGGAATCATGGTCTTCTAAAGATGTCTCCAATTCTAGCCTGTCAATTAAAGCCTTTATTTGCTTTCCTAGTGTTGATTTGCTGAGAAGTAAAGAAGGAACTCCTTTACTATTTGTAGATATTGTTCCAGATATTTGTCGGTCCGGCAAAGATTTGATGAAATGATGCACAGGAACGAACCCAGAGTCGGATCGACTAGGCATGAGTCCGTAATTTCTGATGATTATTTATGACTCTTGTATTGCCATTTGCGGCGTTACAAAATACATTTGCGCTTTGATGTTCCAAACTGAATTTGAACGTTGATACCAATCGCACAAGGACCCCTCATTTGTCTGACTTGGTTCGCCATACACGAGAGAAAACTCCAACTTTTTCTTGGAGAAAACCAGAAATAATCAGAAACCTTTTTGAAATCCACAAATATCAAAGTCGGTGATTTATTGTATTCGATACATTTTTTAATCAGTTTTCAGAGCTTGTAGGTGACCATTTGTTCCTTAACCTTTTCTAAAACCCGCCTGCTCTCTGGGTTGATAAAAATGTAATTTTCATTCTGTGATTTTTGTGATGATTTTGGTAAACCATTCGTAAAAATGAGTGTGTAGTAGGATAGCGTTTTTCCAGGTTTTGGGGACAGTACTTTGATATAAATATAAATCAACTAACTGGTTTATTACAACTAGTAGTTTCTCTCCTCCTACTTTAATAGTAGCTATTACTATTTGGTCATCTCCCGGTGCCATGTAGTTTTTCATTTCTTGTAGGCTACTTTTCATCTCCTTTGGTGATACTTTTGGCATAAGTTAAGATCCTTGGTTTATTACTTTGAGTTTGTGTTCCATCTGTTTCCTTTAGTTGTCTTCTATATAATCCTTTTTAGAAGTTTTTCGTTATCTCTCTATTTGATTTAAGTCTCCTTTTTTGTCTTTTAGTTTAATAATTTCTTTTTCTTAGTTTTGGTTAGTTTTTCTTGGTTAGTTTTGTGTACTAGTTTTTTTTGGTTAGTTTTTTCACTTAGTTTTTCTTCTGTCGTGCCTGCCTTAAGAGAATACCGTTCTTGAGCAACTTGAGCAAGAAAAGGTTGGTTTAAGACTCGGTTTATAGCTTCTTCATACTCCTCTTTATTTTCGGCTGAACTCCATTTCAACATTTTTCTTTTCTTTATCAGTCTCATTCTTTCAGTTTAACTTACTGCTCTATGATCACTCCCAATGCTAAATTGATTTAATATTGTTGTTATGAAGAAGTGTATTTCATTTTTGTGTTCCCATTTGGGTTTACCCATGTCCATGGTCTATGTGGTTTCTTCTCGTAAAAGCTATTCATTAAATACTCTGCATCATCGATTTGCTTTCCTACTTTTGCATTGAAATCTCCCATAAGAACAGTGAAACGATATTCTGTTTGTATTAACGCCGTAGCTAAACCTTCGCAAAAATCCTCAACTTCTTCATGTGTTGGAGCATTGAGTATTGTTTATTCTCAGTGTTATGTAGATCACTCTTTCTGATATTTTCTTGATATCCAATATACAGTGTATGAAATATATATATATATATATATATATATATATATATATATATATATATATATATATATATATATATATATATATATATATATATATATATATATATATATATATATATATATACAGGGTGCGGCAGCATAACTTCCTTTTTTTAAATGCGCGCCATTCAGTTAGTTGATGTCATAGTGGGGCGCTAGTGGTCTCGTTCAAGAGGGGGTACTGTAAAGTTTTGTCCCGACACGGTTCAGTCGCCATCATGCGTTGGAATAGTGAGGAGCGTGCCTTTGCCGTTGAGGCCTACTTTTCAAGCGGTTGTTCGGTTGTTGCAACACAGCGTGCATTTCGGAATCGCTTTAATTTAGCCCCGTTGGCTCCCGTCCCAGACCGCAAATCAATTGTTACATGGGTCACTACATTCAGACAAACTGCAAGTGCGACAAAACGAAGAACTGGAGTCCCTCGGCCCGTTAGATCACCTGAGAACATTGAAGCAGTGAGAGCTTCAATGTTGCGATCACCACGGCGTTCTGCGCGCAAACACGCATCTGCCCTTGGACTATCCGATCGTTCTGTGAGAAGAATTCTTCGTGATGATCTTCATTTTCATCCCTATAAGATGGCGATAGTGCAGGAACTTACAGAACGTGACTTCAATTCTCGGATGAACGCGTGTGAGCTTCTTCTTGATGTCGTTCCCGAGGGTGCTATTGTTTTTTTTAGCGATGAAGCCCATTTTCATTTATGTGGGTCGGTTAACAAACAAAACATGCGCTACTGGGCTGACACCAACCCTCGACAATTGCATCAAAGGCCTTTGCATTCACCCAAAGACACAGTGTGGTGTGCAATTTCCTCAGCTGGAATTATTGGTCCCTGGTTTTTTGAGTAAAATGAGGTTACAGTGACAGTGAATTCGGACCGGTATGTAAACATGCTACAGAATTTTTTTTTCCCACGGCTAGAAGAGTTGGATTTGGGGGACACTTGGTTCCAACAAGACGGTGCAACAGCACACACTTCAAGAGCATCGATGGCTGTTTTGAGGGAACACTTTCCAGAGCGCCTTATCTCAATTAGAGGCGATTTGGAATGGCCGGCACGCTCTCCCGATCTGTCCCCTTGTGATTTTTTTCTATGGGGTTTTTTAAAATCCCTGGTTTATGTGAACCGTCCAAGAACCCTACAAGATTTGAAGATCAACATCGAAGAAGAAATTGCCAACATAACACCAGCTATGCTAACAAGAGTCATGACAAACGCCAGATATCGGTTTACGCAATGTATGGAGAATGAGGGACGTCACCTAACAGATTTGATCTTCAAAACAATGTAAATAAAAACTTTAGACATGTACCTACATTATAAAAAATAAATAAAGATTTTCCGATGCACACAATAGTTTTTATTGAGTTTTGAAAAAAGGAAGTTATGCTGCCGCACCCTGTATATATATATATATATATATATATATATATATATATATATATATATATATATATATATATATATATATATATATATATATATATGATGACACTATATTCCGGGATATCATCCGTTCGCTCGTTGAACTCCGACTGGAATCCTGCATCCGACTGGAATCCTGCAAATCTTGCATCCGACTGGAATCCTGCAGACGTTTCGCCAAAATCTCACTTGGCATCTTCAATGCTCGCGCTCCGAAAACACTTCGAACACTGTGTTCGAAGTGTTTTCGGAGCGCGAGCATTGAAGATGCCAAGTGAGATTTTGGCGAAACGTCTGCAGGATTCCAGTCGGATGCAAGATTTGCAGGATTCCAGTCGGATGCAGGATTCCAGTCGGAGTTCAACGAGCGAACGGATGATATCCCGGAATATAGTGTCATCACATTTTTCCATCCGTGAATCAATACGTGAGAATATATATATATATATATATATATATATATATATATATATATATATATATATATATATATATATATATATATATATATATATATATATATATATATATATATATATATATATATATATATATATATTCTCACGTATGGAAAAATGTGATGACACTATATTCCGAGATATCATCCGTTCGCTTGTTGAACTCCGACTTGGAATCCTGCAGACGTTTCGCCAAAATGCTCGCGCTCCGAAAACAGTGTTCGAAGTGTTTCTCTATTTCTGCGTACTTTCTCTATTTATATAGGTCTGGTTCAGTAACCGCCGCGCCAGACTACGGAAGCAGCTGGCCAGCACGAGCAGCTCCTACACCCCGATAGGGGTGGCGTACTCTGCCCCCACCACGCCGTATCCTTCGTCGATTGGTCAAGGGGTGACGTCGGAGGGCAGTTTTTCTTCGGCCGCGTCGGCCGTGTCGGCGAATCAAAGTAAGGGGAGGAGGTTAAACAATAGGGCTCCGGTGATGGGGGCGCGTAAAAAACTGACGCTTTTAATGTCGTGCCGCTGGTGATTGAAGAGGGTTTTAAAACTGTTACATGCCATAATATATAGGCGCGAAGTGAGGGGAACTTTAATTGTCATTGTACAGCGTGTGCAAAGTTAAAATATTATTTGATAATGTTTTCATAGCATATACAGAGTGTATTTAGTGCAAGAAATATATAGTCGGTACTACTTGCGATGGCATAGTCGATCATAAAACCAAGGGCTTCAGTATTTTACCTGCTTCCACTCGTATACTCAAAATGGCAAAACCCACCCGTTTACCTGCCAGTGTTAATAATACGACCAAAAATATATTGCATTTATTGCTTGGACGTTTTAAGTATTTTACAGTACCTTAACCTCAGACATCAGGTGATATGTATCATTCTTAAGAGTCTAATCTATATTGCAATATTTTCGTATATATTACGGAGGTATTTGACTGTGATGCTTTCGGTAATATATACCTGATTCATTGGCCATGCATTGACCCTGCAAGTCTATTGCCACTGGTTAAGGGTGAGTCAGTCTTTTTTTAAGACTATAGATTATAATCGCTGTAGATAAAGCTCGTCATAAGAATACATATAAATATTTATTAGAATGTTGCAATTAAACATTTATCGAATTTCCTGTTCTTTAAAACTTTAAAATGTGGACCCCTGTTAGAAGAAAACATGGAATACAACGCAGAATTTGAAGACGAAGTGGAGATGGTAATCGAACCTAATGACTATTTAGAAGGCGAACTATCTCAGCAAATAAAAAAGCGGATCCATTTGTCTTCGGATGCTAAACAAATTGTTTTGAATGTTTACAATTTTATTAGAAGTAGGAGCAGCAGTAAAAACAAGTGGTATGAATCAAAATTCCGCAGTGAACTGTAAGAAAGATTGTTAAGAGGAAAGTGAGAAAAGATGCTGGTACCTCGAGGTTTTAAAGAGCAACAGGCAGATCTAATTAGGCGTATAATCTACGACGCTTATGAATAGTGTTTTAACTCTAGAAGAACTGCATAAAAATGTAGTGACAGTCTAAAACATTAGTTGTGATTTTCAGTTCCAAACAATTAATAAATGCCAAGTGGTAATGGAATCTCAAAGAATTTCGCAATGGAGAGTGGATTATTTAACTGCAATTGAAAAATTTCGAGAGCAAATTTGGCCAATGGGCCACGATGCAGTAAAAAAAAAGATGGTGTGATAACAGTAACAAAGGTGTATTAGACGTGCCGCTTTCACATGTAAAACGCATAATGCTGGATCCAAAAATGGTTGGGTGGAAAAGGCCTGCCAAAAACGTCAAAGATTCAAGTGTGTATTGCCATGAAAACATGACCGCGGAAATATTTGAGGACTGGTTTGAAAATTTAAAAAAAATCCGTTGGATATTGCCTTGTATCACCACCTAGGGAAAACTAGGAGGGAGGAGTGTGTATTGTAAAAAGTACATGAATCCAGCTCCGAGAAAGGGCGTACTGTCGGGATTGCTGTCTTGGATTGGTCAGATAGACATTTACGGCGCAACAACATCTGTGAACAATGAACAATATTTTTCCGGCATTTTATTGTCGACTATGCCATCACAAATCTTACGGACTATATTTATTAGCGATACACACAGTTAAATAATTTAATACGTTTACACTTTGTGTTGAATCCGGGTAATCAAACAATGCCAAAGGATCGAAAAATGTTTGCCGCTGATAGCAAAAAACAAATTTTCAAGTTATTAAAATTAAATTTTGAAATCATTAAAAAGCAAAAAAAGTAATTGGAAAGAAACTAGTAATACACTTTCCAAAAATTATATGGATTAATTAAACGAATTGGACTTATGTAAAATTCATGCCTAATAATAATAGAATAATATTGTTGAAAACATCAGTCGCAAAAGTTAACTGAATTAAAAATTTATTCCGGCCAAAATCACAATTAAAAGGTTTGTCCTTGTTGTGTCGCTGTCTCATGATTAACAATTTATGATCGTAATGAAGAAGCCGAAAATTAATTAAACTTCAGCAAACAACGTAAACGATTTTACAAATAAATTTCTAAGAATTCAAAAAGTTTAACACAACAAACACATAATCAGGGGCAACACTCCATTTGTTTACTTGAACGTCCCAGAAATCCTAAAAAAAATTATAGTTCAATAACTATTTGAAAAGTACACAGTATGCATTTCTGATTCTTATGGAATTAACATAAAGTCATAATAATTGAGCATTTTAGAAATTTTGCGTAAACTGTTGGTGATTTTGCACAATAACTTAACACATTAAGAATACTAAAATCGTCAGATATTATACATATCTGAGATATTCCGTTAAGATTGATAATACCTAATTTTTTTACAGGAATTATGCGTAACACCTGTACATTTCGAATCACTTGCTATTTGGAGTAGAAAACACAAAAAGTAGGTACTTATTTTGCAATCTATTTAAGCAATAACATCTTTTAGATGATTTAACTCCTACGTATTTGCAAAACTGTTTATTAGTTTGAACAAGAAGATCTGTATTTTATATTTTGTTATATTTCCGAGGTAAAATCATTAATCAGTAATCACCGACATGTACCTTTAGCACATTGAAATCAAAAGTAACCGAAACTAATACTAAGCACTAACCAAACAAATTCCAGAATATTAATTTTTTGTCATTTACATTTACATACCTGTGACGACACCCTTCGTAAAGATTCGGGAATCAAGTTCATTGGCAGGCCAGACTCTTAGCACTCAGGCTACAGAGAAATTCAAATTGGCTACTAACTGAGGAATACAACCGAATGTTTTAGATATTACGCATATTTCCTGCGACATTTTTAGTTATTATCTGGGAATATCCTATACATAATAGCTGATTTTGGAATTTATGCATAATTCCTAAAATGGTTTACGCTTACCAAACATTTTCGGACATTTAGTGATAACATATATAACGTCTATTATTTGCAACGGCCCCAGAGTAATACCGCTCTTCTATAAGCGGGTAGCGCCATCTCGCGAGTAGAACTGAAGGTTTCACTTCCGGCAAGAACGGGCCGCATTTACAGTAATAGCACCCGGACTAGAAAATATGTTTTTCCGAAGCCGTGGCTGGTAACAACACTGGCGCTAACAGCAGTTACCAGTAATAACACGCGGGCTAGAAAATGTTACTAAAATGTTGGCTATAGTAATAGCACGAGCGATAATTAAAACAGCACTTTTTCTATGGATAAGTATAGATCAACAAAACTAAAACACATACCAATACACATAGAAGCAGTGTTATATTTGAAAAAAAAAGACAGAACAGTAGAAAGAGTACATTCTTATCAAGGTAGCATGAAAATACTTACAAAAATGTAACTGAAATTGATTTTTTAAGATAGAATTACATTTTTGTTACTTAACGTAAAATAAAACAAATGAAGTATATTTTAAACATTATTGCGACCTATGTCTATCTTATAAAAAAAAAGGTGTTAATTACTTTTTAAATTTATTTCCTCCAAGACCCTTATTTTCTCTAACACATTTGGCAAGCGAATGCGGATTTTTTGTTTTACTATTTGAAAGCCTTTTAGTACTTCTCCCTGCTGTTTGAGCTCTTCTTCCACACAACAATGACTTTCTTCTTGAAATGGTAGTTGGCTGCTGGTTTGCCATGACGCAAATTAGTTTGTCTCCTTACGCTACTAACACCACTCTATTTAAAACAGTGGTATAAACCGCTACTCAAATTATTGTCACTATTATCACACTTGTTTTTATTAACCAGACATCGCTTTACATCTGGATAAAAAGTAATAGGATCTTGGTCAATCTTATCTAAAATGTCAGTGCAACAACTTTGCCATTCATTTTTAGGGACTGCAATTTCCTGTGGGGAGGGCATATTTTTAATAAATTCCGAATTTATGTCGATGTTGTTGGAACCTTCATTGCTTTCCATTTTGCTTTTGTTATACGAATGCTCTACAGTAATTGGGTCCATCTCCATTCCTGCTCACTGACAGTACGCTGTAATGGTAAAAACATTTCACTGTTAGCACATTGGCCACTCGCAATGACGCTTTTTTGAGACACCCTGTATAATCCAAAATTCAAAGGTCGCTTCCCCTTCCTAAATACTACCCCTGTACCAAACTTCACATCAAAATACGATGATATACAGGGTGTCTCATTAAAAAAAAATGAGTTTTAGGCAATGGCACTTTTTTGAGATCCCCAATATAATCCAAAATTTAAGGGTCGATTCCCCTTGAGCGATCAACTATTTCAAGGCATTGGCAACCCTGAATATACCAGACCACCAAGAACCAAAAGACTTTAACCAGCAACTGATCCGTTATTTTAAGGTGAGGAAACAAATTTATTAAAAAGTACTTACCTCAACATCGGCTTTGTCTTTTAATTGAAGCCTTAGAATCTTATCACTAATTATTTTAGTTTTAAACGACTCAGGAAGTTTTCCCCATCCATATTTATATTTCTACACAATATTATGTATATAAAACTCAAAAACAAACACTACAAAACACACTTAACAAAGAAAGAAGGAAGTTTCCAGGAGGCGTGCTGTTGCGCATTTTTCTCTCTAGCACAAGTGCTGTTACTGATAACAATTTCGCGGATCCGAACTTAAACGAAGTTTCTAGCCCGCGTGCTGTTACTCTAAATGCGAACGGGCCTGGAAGCTCGTCGCAATATCTGTTTGGTATTTGAATTTATGAAATCACCAAAAGCTAGTCTGGATCCCTTTTGCAGTGCAATATGTTGCTTGTTTTCATGACTTTCATGTATGTTTAGAAAGAAATATCAATTTAAGAATCACCATGTCGACCAATAATACCGTATAGTTCGTCTACAGTAGACAGCTCCCCTTTGGTCTTTTGTAATAATTTGTAGGACATACTTAAAAGTGGTTTCTTTTTTCCAGTGGCCGACCTCTACCCGCCGCACAACCACTCGACGTCGCCTGGTCTACCGTTGGGCGACATCAAGTGGGAACACCCGCTGGCGCACAATCATTTCCCCCCACACCATCCGATCTATCCACCGGGCGCGAATCTCGTCCCGATCGCGCAGAACATGACGCCGCCGACGTCCATAGCGACGCATCACCACGCCGAAAATTCGTCACCCGAAAACCACACCAACATGGGCGGACCGAACGCTAGCTTGACAACCAGCAACGGCAACATGGCGTCCGGCGCCGCACCTAACCTCCAAAATTTGGGTCAGTCGGGCGAGATAAACTACAAGGACGGCAACGATAACAATATCCATCATTCCGTCAGTCCCGGGGAGCAGCAATACGGAAATATGCCCCCCACCCCTAACAGTATGGTTACCATGATAGGACCTACCAGCGGTAAGTGTATATAAAGTCTGTTCATAGATATAAGAAAGTGACTAACTGATACGAATTAAGGAAAGACCCGGGCAAGCTGTAAGAATGAAATATGGCTGAATTTAATTATTTGGGGTTTTGTTAGGAAAGATACTAAACAATATTTATCTATTTATGTATGTATTTATGTTTAAACCAATAATAAAATTACAAATTATTTTTATTACCTACTTAAATTACTTAAAATTTTTCACATAATATATCAGTATCACTATCGCTATCATCGCCTGTTCTAATTATTATTTGTTCTATATTATTTGCAATATGGATATACGATTGTTCAGCTTTTTCTATATGTTTAACAGAATTTGCCCAACTTTGTGGAGGGATTTTAAAAATTTCGGTTTGGAGTTAACACGGGGAAAAACATTGTTACGATAAATGGCAGATTTCAGTTGGTACCAAACATGTTCAATGGGATTAAATATACAGTGGTAAGGTGGAAGAGTTAAAACTGTATGCCCTAGATTTTTTGCGTAATTATCACAGACGTATTCCTTTTGTAGGTTCAAGCTTTGTAGGACCTCAATTAAATGCTTTATGGTATAATCTTCGTGAAAATAAATGTCGTTATTATACATGTAGTTTTGGATTGTTGCTTTTGTGTCACATGAGGAAGGGGTTTTACTCAACTGTCTACTGTGATAACTTGCATTGTCCATTACAATTACGCTATTAGGAGGAATGTTTGTAACTAGTTTCTTTTTAAACCAACTTTCAAATAAATCAGCGGTGGTGTCTTCATGGTAATCCATGGTAATATTTTTCGCAGACAGAGAAAATCCATTTGGAATCCAACCATCTTTAGAGCCAGCATGCAAAATAGTTTTGGTTAGTTTCTTTTACCTCTTCTTGAGAAAATGTCAGCATCACTTCTTTTTTTCCTCGCTGAAATGGGATTATTTGCAATTTTCCATACAGTTGATGTTGGAATTTTCGTCAATGTGGCCGTTTCTTTCTAAAGATGCTAGCTTGCTGGCACCACATTCAATGAGAGTCAAATAAACATTGTTTATAACTTCCTTAGTCTCAATAGAATAGTGTTTTCGACATTTGGGCGGGAGCATCTCCTGAGATACACTAGACTCGCACATATTTTGCATAATTCGCACACGATTCAACACACCCTGTATTACACACAAAATAAGAATGATTATTAATAAACTTAAACTAAGTATTATACCAAACCAAAGAATATTAAACAAAGGTAGGTATACAATTATTTTCTATTACGGACCACAATTTTACCTGAATTTAAATTCCGAAACTTTAGGTAATAATCTTGTTGCGTTGTATGTAAATGACCACCCTTGGATAATCCCATTCATTCATTTCTTATATCTATGAACAGACCATACCACAATTTTCTTGAAATTAACATACATTTTCAAGTATCAATGATTACTATCACAATAATAATCAAAATTAGCTAATAGATAGTGGATAAGTAAGTAGGCTTCTTAAAAGAAATATATACCTTCCAGTTGTTCCAGTTGTACAGGGTGGTCTAAATTCGAGGGTCCTCGATGACTTTAAGCATTTGCAGCATGCTTAGCCCAAAACTAATATGCATGTTACGGGCTCGATTTTCGAGAGAAGTCAAAAACTGAAAACGCATCGTGACATGTCAATGTGTTTTTCAGCTACAGGGTGATTCTCAAAAATGTGCGATTTTAAAGGCCTTTTTTAATTGTAAGAATAGAATTTTGGGAAAAAACATTTTATAAAGTTTTTTTAAGTGGGAATCTTTCGATTTTACTCGTTTTGTGTTAGAGCCTTTAGTTCCCGAGGTATCACACAAAGTTATATTTCTTTAAATGGGATACCCCCAATTTTTCTAAAAAATCAGTTTTCTAATAAAATTTTGTGTCGAACAATGTGTCATACACCTATTTTTATTAAATAGTTTAAAAGATATTTGCAATTTGTTTAATGCTTAAAGCCATAGAGGCCCCTCGAATTTGGACCACCCGGTACAAAACATGCTCTACGACAGCGATGAGAGGATCATCTTACTAATCTATAGTCTATTGCAGACATGTGCAGAGTGACCCACCGTAAGCCACATTCATTTTTTGCGTTTATTCTTCCATTTTCTCGAGTGCTCCACCCGAGTTTTTGTCTAGCCTATTCTTATCTATTCGCCAACACTGAGAATGGTGTGTACCGTGATTTTATATTAAATATACATACATAAATTAGGCAGAAATTAAATTATTCTTGACGTTATCATTAAGGGGTCAACACAGTAGGATCAGGCAGTTTCCCTTCTTTAATTACATGCTGTTGCTTTTCCGAGTTCTCTGGTGATATTTCCTCTATGGTTTCCCTGAAGGTACCTTATAACCGTTGACAGGCTTGGCGAGCACTGGTTATATTTTGGTCTTGCCACGTTTTGGTTCCAGATAACCTTTATTAATCCACGTCTCATAAAGACAAGACAAGAAAAATGATTTTATTGCATAAAGTTTATCCACGCCTGTGACCGGCACCTAAAATCAGGGAAAGTACACGAAAATTCCCATTTTATTACTTTAGTAAACAGAAATACAATTTTTTTTCTTTTGCATTGAGACCATGTAAAAATTAAAAAAGATATAAGTAATATAATCGAAGAAAACACACGACATTTTTATTTGTTGTTCATTTATTATTAGTGTATATATTGCCCTCAAAGGTGCTGCCTAGTATAGCTATATTGTTATTTTCATAAATACTTTAAAAAGCGTTAAAATCCGTTAAATTATTCAATATATTTTTGCGTCGCCCCGTATACGAAACTAATTCGCCACAAATAGAACAAGTCAAAACGGCGTGATTTTTTTTAGGTCGCGCTATAAAAGGCGTTATTTTTTTTCGTTCGCAACGCATTGTTGCCGGCAAAAAGCCCGCCCCCAATAACAACACTCGCCTCGTTTTATTATTATTAAATTAATATCGTTGAATGGGCGCCCATCGATTTTCGCAACGGAACTGGACTTTTTTCCTCTCGACGCCCGGTAAAGTGTAAATCGACCTTTTTTTTCCTCGCAACAATGGCGAAGAGAAAGTCTAATAAAAATGACATAATTAGCGAGCGAATAAAAACCGATCAATTACGACGTTTGAGAATAATGGGAAACACTTACAGTGTCACGCTCCATTTTGTATCGTAATTGTTAGATATAATAGCAGCGAACGGGGGATTCGATTCAAATCGTAGTCGGCGGTTACGTAAATCCACCCTTAATTTGGCGACACCGAAACTTGCGCATTTGTGGTTTTAGTTGCGCGTCGCCTCGTATAGACGAACCACAGCCATGACGACTTATGATTTCTGTGCACAGAATGCATTATTTGTTATTTTGGACCTAGAGAAATAAAGAAGAGTGAGAAAAGAAGAACAATGTTTACGAAAAGCGTGATTGCTAAAATGATATTGCTGCGCACCATTGCCAAGTTGTTTTATTTCTTTGAGTTTCTTTGGTAAAATTGTTGTTACACTGCAAATTTCATAACGCAAGGTGAAATAGAGTTACATAAACTGAACTGAATTGAAAAGACAACAAATTCTCAAATTTGTTTTTTACATGGTGTAAGAAAAAGGTCAAGAAAGCAAACTTTTAAATATATATCTTATCTGGTATCGTCCAGATCCACAAAATGATATTCACATATGCCCTCTTGGATTCATTTATTCGTTTGACCCACAAAAGGATAAGTACATTTGAAAGTTCTTCCTATCGCATTGCTGTATTCATTTATTTTTTAAATAATTATCTTATTTTTCTGTTAACACGAGAAAGGATTTCTGATTCACCCCGTATCATTTATACAAGTCTTGCCAACAGTGTTATATTAATAGTCACTTATAACTTGAATTTTTTATGTGCTAATGTTTTTCGGCAGTTTATTTTCCAACCATCCTAACGTACAATCCCAAACGTATCAATTTTTTTCGAGCATCCTGTATATAAGACGAAAAGCGTAAATACCATAACCGCCTCTTTATTTTATAAAATTAGTTTCTTTACTCTCTACATTTTTCCTGAATTAAAAGCCGTTTCTAGCTTTTTGTCCTGAAAAACTCTAGCCACAATAATTTGCATCAGTCACGACATAAGAATATAATAAAAAGAAATATTTAAAAAGAAAAAAAAAGCGGTCCCGAATGGGGTTTGAACCCGAGACCTTCCGTGTCGCACTATTAATCATTTCAACCATGGACTTGGGAGTTTTGGTTAGTTGCATCGCAAACTTTCTGCAATATGGGAAAACAGTAAATGCTGTTAACATTTTCGGCCGTTTTAGATTTTAAACTGTTTTTTTTGTGAATCTAGTTTACTAATACAAAAGTTGTCCAGTATTTCCAGAAGATGAAATTGTACTAGCCTAAAAAACATTTTGATATGAAACTTTTTGGTTTGTGCCATCTTGATATTATCGTTCAAAAACCATAAATATATACATACATAAATATTATTCTCCACATTTTTTTTTATTGAAATCTGGAAAAATATAGTTTATCTTTTGTCATTTGGCCTAAATAATTTAAAACCAGAAGCAAATATTTGATTATTGCAATCTTGCTAAATTCCTTGCTATTATTTCCCTACCCTCGTTCCCTGCAACGGTTATGTTCTGCTCATTTCACTTCACAGTGGTGATTACATTCTTGGATAACCCGAGCATTAATGGATGTGGTCGTTTAAATGCTTAATTTCATGTTTTGGCCCTCTTCCCTTTTGACATGATAGGAACAATCTGGTATACGTAATACATAAAATTAAACATTAACTGCCGTTTGATAGTCGAAAATGTTAAATGCAAAAATTGCAGTATATTCAGTTTTTTGCACGTAACACGCACGTCCTGTCTGGACTAACGGATATTTTTATGTTATTGTCCCAAAGCTCAATGAAATTCTTTGATCGTGTTCAAGAAAATTTATTTTTATCCAAAAAACTAGATTTCAAAATTTTTTAAAAAGTATTTGGGAATTCTATTCTTGCCCAATTTAAATCGTTTCGATTAAAGGACGGATCTCTGACTTCCTGAGGAATTTCAACTCGATAGCTCGAAAGTTCGGACACTTACTTTGGTTCAAAACGCAAAAATAATGGCCGACAAAATAGTCACTGATCAGATCATCCTTACTTATTGAATCGTCTAGTATTAGGACGTACGAAAGCAGGTTTCAAAAAAATCTGGCTAGTCTGTCACAGAGAACAGAAGAGAACAAAGAACAAAAAATTGTTTAAAAATGCTATGGGCGCTCCAACTGTTATACACGTAACTGCATCATTATCGTTTATCGTGTCTTTCAAAATCTCATTCTTTCGCAGGCAATAGTTCAAACAGTACCGAAGGCGCCCAACATCAAGAGTCGAACAACCTCCAGCATTTGCCGGCGTCTTGGCCGATGTCGCCCAATCACCAACTGAGGAACCTGAGCCCGGTCAATAGTCACCAAGCGATACCTAGCAGTCTGGGTCAGTTGGGTCAGCCGCTCGCCCAAAGTTTGACCAGTTTCGGACAAAATATGCAGCACGGCATCCACGGGTACTCGAATCACGCGCCCAAGGGATTCGGTCACCAGCCGTTTTACGGTTGGTACTGACAGTTTGAGGTTAGGTGCCGATTACATTAAGCGGAGCGGGAAACTAGGTTAGCGAACGATAGTCTTAAGTTTGTAAATATTGAACATACCCAGTGATTTTTTTTCTGTAGTGTACAATAAAAAGAAAGCTCGACTTTTTTAGGAACCAAAATAGGGGAAAGTTTGACATCTTGTATAGTGCAGATTAGAATTAGAGTAGTTCGTGTTTAATAATGTGTTTCATTTGTTTTTATTTGTTATCGAGTTTGGTAAAAGATTGTATTTTTGTATTCATGCGAGAGATGTATATTTTGAAATAAATAAAATCCATACAATTTCTTTCTATTATATATTTCATTCAACAAACATATATTATAAATCTACATGATTAAACTGATAAATGCATATCAAACGCCAAGGTGTGAGAGTATTGTAAAGACGAAAATATCGATAAGCGTATTGAAGATATCACAAAATTTATAACGTAAACTATGATTTGCTTAAAACTATAATAGCGACAAATATCGAGCTGCCGTTAATAAAACTCCGTCCAACTCTTTCTTTCAAATCGATTCGATTCAGAATCTTGTGGGTATATTTGAACTACTCTCCTCACTTGGAAAATAAACATTTACCTAAGCGTGACGCGCATTAAATATGGTGCGTACAATTGAACTACGCGTATTCGCGATACCAAATATTTAACTAAAATATCTGAATTTGACTTTCCCTTTGACATTGTTAATATGTTTTATCGTTTTTTATGCCCAAATATCTATTCTTTTTTATGTACCCAATATATAATTCTTTAGTTATTATCAAACTTATATTAGCAACGATAGCTTCAAATCTTTGCCATAATATTAAACAACTGAGTATTGACGTTAAATATGGTGGGTATAATTGAACTACGCGTATTCGCGATTTTTTATAATTTTAGGATACCAAATATTTAACTAAAATATTTGAATTTGACTTTCTCTTTGACATTGTTAATATGTTTTATGGTTTCTTGTGCACAAATACCTATTATTTTTTAATTACTCATTATATAATTCTTTAGTTATTATCAAACCTATATTAGCAACGACAGCTTCAAATCTTTGCCAAAATATTAAAAAACTGAGTATTCACTTTTTGAAAACCTAAGCTTTGAGTATTATTACTAAATACAATTCGTTTTTGCTTAGACCAATGTATGTTTTTTCCCAAAAATCAAACATATTTCTAACAATATTTAAATTCTTTATGCGTACTTAAATACAAGCAATATTGATTAAAAAAAGTGCCTGCAACGCATATGTCAGAGCTGCTAAGTATGGAGTATTAAGAAAATATCATTCGAGAATAAAAAAATCTCCAAGGTCCATTTGAACTACTGACAATTGCTTTCCTTGTGGCTCAATACCTTTAACCGCAGGAGACACCTGTAATTCATGTTACAGCCAGATTTATTATTAAACTATTTGCAGGAAACATTTTATCATGATTTAAATTTGGAAAAAAATTACCTGTGTTCGTTAACAACTTTCTCCTTTCTACTTGCTTGACTGTGTCCTTTTTTTTTTAACTTTAACAATAATTGTTTAGATCTCTCCCTATTTCAAAAAAAATCAAGCCACAAGTCTAGTGCAAAATCAAATCACGCGTAGTCCTTTTGCACTACTTTTTTTTTCGCACACCTCCCAGTAATTGTATTTCATTCCCGATCCTAATCCTTTTTACCGATTTTCTCCACTGTTCTGAGAAATTTAACTTTTACGATGGGCAACAGATCCACCAGAATTTCAGGAACTACTTGCTGTGCATTGATATAAAAAACCAGGTACAAAAACTTAAACCTTACAAATTTAATGTGCACAGTAGCTGTTGAGCTTTCGACTTCAGCACCTTGTTGATGTTGTTGGCGTGCATAGCGTCTTTGCACATGGCGATATAAGGCTCGTAATTGTGTATCTCGTTCACCAAATCGAAATCGTCATCTCGATCTAGGTGGCCGTTCGTTTCAGCGTCGACGTTGCCACGTCGAACGTTTTGCGAGTCCGTGTCGGAGACGCTGAACTGTTGCGGGAATACTTGCTGCAGCTGGTCTACTGGGAAAGTCGAGGCCGCGCAAGTTAAAATGTCTACGGAACGAGAAACATTTTCAAACGTTTCGCGCTAAAAGGAGCGAAATAATACGAGCCTTTCAGCAACTTCTTGTGGAAGAAGCAGATCCTTTTCAAATGTTCCTGCTGGGATATCTGCAGGATTCGGGTCTGCACCGCCGCTATTAGAAATTTCCATTCGTCGGTTTTCGTGAAACGATCCTGCAAAAATCCTGTGATATGCAAAAAAATGGCGAACAAGGACCATGAAAGTTTGTAATTTTTGTTGCGAGCAAATTCGTAGCGTACTTCGATATCTTATCGGCGAACATCGACAATGTTCGCCTCGATATATTCATAAATGTATTAAAATTGGTTTTTGGGATTAAAACCGTAAAAAACACATAAATTTTTGCTTTCGATGTGCCTCACACCTGTCGCACCTTATTTAAATAGGGAACATTTTACAACAAAATATTTTTTTCTACTCCCTACTGTAATATACCTATTGACGTTCATATATCAAGTGTACGGAAAGTGTCACTTCGTTAGCCACTGTCAAATCAGCCAGCGCACTCGTGCCAAACTGACTCGTGACTAAAATACAAATCACAAGCCCTTGTCGATATTTGACGTCAGGTTGATGTAATAAGAAACAAAAAACAAAAAATTATCAAAATCGAACCGTAACCAAAGATTTTACAACAATGTACAGCAGGGAGCAAATGATATTTCGAACACCCTGTATTGAAACATTATTAAAATTGGTATAATTAGGTTCTTAGTACTATTGAATACGAATTCGTTGCCAATTTAACCCTGATAGTATTTCTCTCTTCTCCCTCTGTTGTTAAAGTTAAGCAAAATAAGGTTTCAGTGCATTTTTCAGAGACCCATCCGACAAAAAAAAATTTACATGGGTGTACAGTGCTTCAGAGAAAGACACTGTATCAGCCTAGGGGTATTAGTTCTATGACAAGACAAAACGAAGCAGCATATTTGGTCCAAAACATAGCGAACAGTACATCTGAACGACTTTTACCGTAACAAAAGTCTCACCTTGGCAAACTGAAGCAGACACTGCGGACAGGCGTCGAGAAGCAACGTGACGGCATCGTTGGTTCCCGAAATGATCGACTGGAGGCTCAAATTACCCCTCAAATTCGAGTTGACCGCCAGAAAACCACTGATTTCGACACCCACCTGTTTGGGAACCACCTGACTGCACAGAAGCGCTTGCAATTTTTTCAACACCGTGTCCGCTTCGTCGTTGGGCTGACAATCGGGGGCGGCTGTATAATTTTCGACGCAGAGTTGGTATATTTTGGAGGTTATCTCGACCTACAACGGTAAACTCATTTTATCATCACTAATCCCATTAATATCTAAAGTAGATTAGACAAGCTTCATGCTGTAATTCTTGACATTTAGACCTCAGACTTAATTGTTGATAATTTCATGATTTTTGCGGTTTTTAGTAAAGGGGCTTGTTATAGTGAATTATTATGCAGCTGTTAGGCCCTATTTTCAAAATGTAGTTTATCGGTGACTACAAAAGTTGCCTTGACCTTGAACCCTTATCCGGGATAAATTAATGACATGTAACCGAGTTAGTAATTTTTGTAGTATTTGTTTCGTTACTAGCGGAAAAAAGTTAATTTCTTCGCCGGGTTAATCAGTGAGATTATACAGACACGTGAAAAAAGTATAGAACCAAACATATTTAAAGATTGCGTTTAAAACCAATTGAATATTTCAAAAAATAGTTTAAGTACATAAATATTACACACAATTAAATGTGTCAATATATAAAGTATATTTTTTATATAATAATAGTGAAAATCTCAAATAGCCTGCCATCCATACATTTTTACTGAAAAAAATTATAAACTCATTACTTATATTTATATCTTATTGCCACCTTTATTTTTTATAACTTCTATTAATCTTTTAGGCATGCTATCAACTAATTCCTTAACTACATTAGTTGAAATTTTGATTGATTGACATTATTTGATATTATTTATTATTATTATTATTATATTTATTTATTTATATATTATTTATTTTTGACTGTACCACTCTTTGGACCTATCGTAAAACTAAAAGCAGAAAAGTTTGCTGAACAGCTTGGCATCATCCATTTCATGGATGGTTGGGGAAGTTCAAACAGAGACATGGTATAAATTGCGGACAGATAAGTGGCGAAGCCCGTGATGTCGACAGGAACGTCACTAACGATTGGCTGGAGAAGACGTGGCCAAAACTAGCAGAAAAGTACCCTGCTGACGACATTTTTAATGCTGACGAAACTGGTATTTTTTTACAAAATGACGCGAGATAAAACTCTTAAATTTCGAAGCGAAAAGTGTGTGTGTGAAAAACTTTCTAAAGAATGTATAACAGCGTTAGTAGCTGCCAATATGGGTGGGAGAGAAAAAAGAAAGCTAGTCCTGATGGGAAAATCAACTAACCCACGATGTTTTAAGAACATCAAGCATTTGCCGGCCACTAACAATGCAAACAAGTCTGCATGGATGACATCGCAAATTTTTGAAGAGGAGATAAGGTAAGGGGATGCAGAAATCCCTATATTCCAAATTTTCCATTAATATGCTAGATGCAGTCAACTATATTAGTAAAGCTTGGAAAGAGGTGACAGCAGAGACAATTCAACACTCCTATCATCATGCAGGACTTATTACCGAGACAGAATGCGAAACGGATTTGGAAGATGATCAGCCACTAAGAGAGTGGATAAAGCAGTTTCAAACAACAATATCGGTTACAAGTAAGGAGTTGCAGCATTTTATGGTATTAGATCAGGATTTGCCATATTACAAAGCAAGAAAGGGTGAGGAAGAGCACCAAGAGGAAGAAGAAGATGAAGAAGTTGATCTGGGACCGCCACCCATATTCAGTTAAGCTGCTAGAGAAATGTTTTATGTATCATGGGGAAGATGCCCCTCTCGAAGAAATGGTGAAAATACACGCCAAAGTACGAGATGCGTATTGGCACACTAAAAAAATTCAAAAGAAAATGACCGATTATTTGAAACATTAAATGTAGTTCTTAAACATTTATATAAAATGTTCCTAAGTAGATGTTAAACTATGTATATAAAATAATTAAATATATGCGTATTGTTATTTTTCAAGTGCCTATAACTCTTTATAATGAAAAAAAAGCAGTCCCTTCAATTTCGCTATATAGAATTTCGACTGTATTTATATATTAGTGACACTTGTATAATAAAATATTGAGTCTATATTTTTTCACACGTCTATAGGTTACTCCGTTAGTTTGACATTTAGTAATTCGAGAAGTTATTTTTTTAGGTCGGTTTTAACTTGGGCTTTAGTGTGTGAAAAAATTGCTCCCATCATTCTATTTTGTTTATTATTTCTATTATCTCCTGACGTAATGAGTTTGGGTTTCCTTTGAATATAATACCATAGAGTACCATACACTAACTTCAGGATCAGGTGTTAATATGGCGACCAGAAGAAAGTAATGTAGAGGTCGCCATTGGATCGAATCGATCAGTAATTTAGTTTGCAATTTCAGAATTATATGACACTTAAAATCGTACCTGAAACGGCGGCATTTTGTCGAGATATTCATAACGAAATTCGGAGAAGAGAAAATTGCCTTTCGGCTTTTTCGCTTTCTCGTCGAAATAAGTTTTGTAGACGTGATTATATCGCAATTTTTCTTGGTCGCCGTCTTTCCCAGTCTCGTCCGAGTCGTTCTCCGCGCATTCGTTTTCGATCACCTCACGGGCACTGCCGTCGTCGCTGTCGCGACGCTCGTCTCTCAACTGCAAAATTTGCAACTGGGAGAGATACGATCTTACGAGCAGTTTCATCGCTTCGCTGGCACCCCTTTCGTACGCCACTTTCGTCAAATCTACGTTCTCGGGCCTGGCGAAATACTGCGAGAAGTAACTCTCGAGCATCTTCTGCAGCACCAAGCTCGCGTAGTTGCTGTCGTTGCCTATACTCGACGGCAAATATTCGATGAACACCTGCACAGACATTAGCAGCGTCGATATATACATTTTTTTGAACTATCACAACAATCTTGATGCAAGAAGGAGATACTTGTAAAAGCTTAAATTTATTACCAAGTGCATTGCTAGGAAATAACATTCAAGGAACCGATGAGTTTTCAGATGGGTGTATGAAAAATCAAAATTTTAAGTAGTCGACGTTTCTGTAATTTTACTGCCTTCTTCAGGACTCTAAACGAGATCACATATACTTAAAATCGTGTTCCGAAAGTAATCATAATTATATCAAACTAATTGGGCTAGGTGGCATTACTTAGGCTTATTATTTTTTGTGGCTCTTAACCATCAAGTCAATTCATTTTTGACTAACTGTAACTAAATTTACCCAAATTTTGGCGAAGCTTCTGGTCGTCGGGTCCCACTCTCCCCTATTTATAATGTTATACATAATACTTATAATTATTTATTAAAAACAATTTAATAAAAAAAAAATTACTGATTAGTAACTAATTTTCTATCAATTCAAAAAAGTGTTATTGGTAGTTATAAGATTTTCGAAGGCTCCGGCTTTAGGCTAAATCATTTCACATTTTCAATAAATCAATTATGATTAGGTAATAATATGGAATAGCTTTTTTTAGAATTATTAAGCGGTCCATTTTACCCCTGATATTAGGCAAAGGGCTATGTACAAATATTCAGTATTTATAAAAATAAAAATGAAAAACAAAATTTGGTTAATTTTAAGGCGAAAGGAAGGCTGCTAAATTTTTGATTATTTAAGACATTCTCAGAAAAAAAAAACATTGCAAACTATAAATTAAAGTAATATTAATATTTATATATATATATATATATATATATATATATATATATATATATATATATATATATATATATATATATATATATATATATATATATATATATATATATATATATATATATATATATATATATATATATATATATATATATATATATATATATATATATATATATATATATATATATATATATATATATATATAATATGTTCGAAGTGTTTTCGGAGCGCGAGCATTGAAGATGCCAAGTGAGATTTTGGCGAAACGTCTGCAGGATTCCAGTCGGATGCAGGATACCAGTCGGAGTTCAACAAGCGAACGGATGATATCCCGGAATATAGTGTCATCATATTTTTCCATCCGTGAATCAATACGTGAAAATATATATATATATATATATATATATATATATATATATATATATATATATATATATATATATATATATATATATATATATATATATATATATATATATATATATATATATATATACCAGTGCTAACAACACGATATGTTGATATTTTGCATGTTTTAACAGGAAAGATTTAATATGTTTACAAAACATTTAAAATGGATTGGGCGGCTTTCGTAAGCGTGCGCAAAAGACATTATTGGTAGATCTGGTATGTGATTCGTGTATTTAATATGTAGACATTGAAAACTTTAGTTTTGATAAAGATTTTGCTGCTGGTAGAAAAAATAGTTGTAAGCGGCCAAAGGGGTGTTTTTTTAACCCAGTGATGATTTAATTGATTTATTTATTGAAAATTAATTTTATTCGAAATGTATGATCGATAGTAATTAGATAAATCCAAGCAGAATAAAAACACTCCAATTTTTATTGGTCAGTTAGGTTTGCCTTTGCCTTTAGTTCATATGCAATTAAGTATCAAAACTTTAAATAATCGAGTGGCTTTTATGTCAGTGCTTAGAACCCTTCAGGAGTGTCACAGAACTTGATTAATGCTATTTTGAAAAACAGGCGCAATCCAAAAAATTGACTGACAACATTGTCTCCTTAAAAATTTTAAGATCGAGTTTGAACACCTTGTGTATCTTTAAATAATGTTGAACATTCATTCAAAAAAAAAAAGGTCAATCTTCTATCACATTCTTGCATCAGGTTCTTCAATTTCCAACGTTACCTTTATGATTTTACACAAATTGACAGTCTTCTTTTCGACGATCAACCTAACCAATATGTCGGCGAGCAATTCCGGACAAACGGAAATCAACAATACGGACAACTCGGAAAAACTCGTCACACCTTTCGTTTTGCTTTGAGGGACGTATGTAGTCTCGAAAAGCAAGTCCCAATTATCCAGTAATAGCTCGACGAGTCTTTCGCGCGATATTTTGCGGAGACAAGTCTCCGCAACGTCGCCATTACCCTTCTGTATCTGTAGAATCGTCAACGCCAGATGGCGCTCCGCCCGGTCCTCTTCCCTACTAAACCCACGACTTACAACTTACCCATAAATATATTAAGCTTTAATCAGTAAATAATCTTAATTGATATATTACTTAAAATGTTTCCCTAGAAATTGTGGAATAAAGGGGCTATAAAAGTTAATAGATATTGTAATTTCTATATTATTCTTCAAAGTTTATACTTAATCAACTTCATTAACTATGTACAAAGGTATTTACTGTATTTAGTTGTTAATATTATGAATAAAAATAATATAAAAATAACAAATTGTAAAAATTTGTCCTATACTAATAGAAGGATTTTCAACGATTCTTGTTAAAATTATAATAGTTGATACAAATATTCAAAATAAAATTTTATTTATCGGGTATGTTCAAATATTTGAATTTTTATTATTAATAATTGATGAAATATATAAAATTATAATGGATAAAAATATAATGATTCCTCCTCCAAGTTTATGGGATGGATTGAAGAATAGCATATGCGAGTAGAAAGTATCATTCAGGTTGAGTATGAACTGGAATGATTAAAGGATTAGTAGGAACAAAGTTATCAAGGTGACTTAGAATATAGGGTGTGTAAAAGTAATAAAAGTTAAAATAAAAATTATAATAAATAATCCCAGTAAGTCCTTAAAAGATGAAATGGGATTTTATCTAAATTTATATTTGATCCTAAAGAATCTAATGAACCTGATTGGTGAAGAAAAAGTAAATGAATAACTACTAAGCTAAGGATGATGAAAGGAAGAATAAAGTGAAAAGTGAAAAATCGGGTTAATGTTGGTTGTTAATAGCGAATCCTCCCAAAATTCAGGTTACAATTGAGTTTCCTAAGGAATGGCTGAAATTAAGTTAGTAATAACAGTGGCTGCTCAAACTGTTATTTGCCCTACAAGTAAAACATATCCTAAGAAAGCTATTGATTTAAAAAAAATATTGTTCCACCAATTAGTCAAGTTTCTTTTAAAATTTGTGTATATGCTATGTATAACCCAAAATTAATTGCTCAACAAATAATTCTTATACTATTAAAAGCTAATTCGGTATGTGGATAATAATGTGTAGCTAAAAACGGCCCAACAATGATTCGAATTATGAGGTAAATTCCCAGCAAACTTCTGAAGTTTCATAAATAAGAAATATAGAAATTTTTGCCATGGCAATTAATGTTAATAATAAGTAAGTTATAAATATAACTAGAATTAAATTTTTAGGATAGTTAAAAAATTTTCTTTTGGTTTGGTTTGGTTTTGGTTAGTTAGTTAGTGGTTAGTTCATTACTAAGAGTCTTAAAGTATATACAATATGATTCTCAAAAATAAATTAACATTGCATTAATAACATTAATTATAGCAAGATAAGTATTAAGTAAGATAGTATTAAATTTATTATTTGAGGCAATTCTAGTTAGTCCAGCTTTAGTATGAAGTCCGCTTTTTGCCATTCATTATTCTAGATCACTTCATTATAACTTTACGTTCCATTATTACATATTTATAAATTATTTAATAGATAAGATAACTTGATATTTTGTAAGAATTTATCAATCATGGAAGAATAAATTAGATCACCCCATATGTCGCTAATGTTACTTACTCTGCGCATTTGTCGCTCAGTATCTGAGCCAGCTTATCGGTGGAATACTCCCTGAGCATTTTACTTTTCAAGATGAGGTAAGGCAGGTCCTCATAGCCGTGCGACTCCAACAGGTCGAGCATGATCTCCGCGAAGCTGTTCTTTGATGTGGACCTGAAATACCTGTCGGCGTCGAGGCTAGTCTTGACCTCGCGCAAAATGTGTTTTAAATACCACATCAACCCCTTGGAGGCCTGAAAAACCAGCGGACAAGTAGCCGTGAAGGTTCCAAGTCATCAATTACCTTCTGATTGCTCTGCTCCTCAATCTTCTTCACCCTCTTGAGCGCTTCTAAAGGCGCGACCCTCGCTATTTTGTAATACGGAATGGCCAAAGCGTAATTGGCTTCGTCTGAACACCTACAATCGCAAAAAACGCGAATGAAACGTTTACACGTAATGGTAGTTCAAATGTACATAATGTAGTGGTCTCCCAGCAGAGCGCAGGACGTCCTGTACGTTTCTACTAGGTCGTCGCTCACGTCCGACCTCTGAATTATCAACCTTACGTTGTCGTCGGTGACTGTCCACTTCTTCGTCAGTAGCGCAACTCGCAAAATCATGTGCGCCTCGCTCAACAGATGGCAGTAGGTCTGCGTTGATGTAAATCTGTGAACGTTAGCGACTATGCAAATGTCGTTGAAGATCGTCTTCGGGGATGGTAATTCTAGGTTATAGAGGGTCAAAAACGAAGCAGTGGAACTGAAAAACATTTCAAGTGGCACCTCCATTTGCGGCTGAGCGTTACTCTATATACCTTCCACTCGAGCTCATCGAATGCGCGGGAGAACCATCGGAATTCGCTAATAGAACGATGTAATTCTCAGAGAGCAAGATGCGTTCGACTCCCAAAAAAGGACGGAGTCCTACGAGGCATATGCACTCGTTCACCTCCGGGCAAGCCTACAATCGAGACCGGCGCTAAGCACAACTAAAGTAGTTCAAATATTTTATTACATTGTTTAGGTTATCGATAACGTCGAAGTTTCTACAAAGTTGATGGCCGACCCGAAGCGTGTAGGATTCGAGCCCAGTCTCAGTCAATGCATGCAAAAGGTGATCCTCCATTACCAGTTTGTATACCGGCGAAGTAAAAGGGTACACAGCTATACAATGGTCTTCGTCCGGGTCCTTATCTAAAACACTTCCATGATGATTTTATTTCTTCATTCACAAATTACGTCACACACAAATTTTATAAATTAACGTAAAATTAACAAACTCAAATAAAAACTAATCTCAATGTCAATGTCACTCCTTGGGTGACGTAATTCATGGGTAACTCATGAGTCAATCCGACACCTGCATCTCCGAAAAAATGCAAGTAGCCTTCCTGCTGTGTGGCAATCATACAGGCCACACCGTTCAGGCACTTTCGGTAGTCACTTTTGAGAATAGCGTTGTCCCATTCGTTGACGTTTTTGTTGAAATTTTGTTCTATATACATGGGTCTCAGTATTATGCTTTTAAACTCTTCAGCTACCTGCCTCTGGGCGTTCTCTACCACGATCGGTACCAGCCTGAGCTGGATTAAATCCACAAGTTTGTAATTTGGAACCTTAACCTAAAAGTATGACTACTATCAACTGTGCAAAGTTTATGATTGGCCTTTGACCTATACCTCGGTGGGTGAAGTAGCTTTTAATACGGCAACCAGATCTTTGTCACTAAATGTAAAAGGACTGTGCTTATGAATCAAACTATTTTCTTTAACAATTGTCGGCAAATTGACGGTGATTTTTTCCTTTTTCACGTTCATTGCTTCATCCCTTACTAGCTGCCTATAATCTATCGGTTTATAGTTGGAAACTAAAAAGTTTGCGAATGCGATAGGTAGAATTAATAAATTATGTAACAAAGTTCATGATTCTGTGATTTTTCCCACTAGCTTTTATTTTATAGATGTTCTGTAACACTCAGTACCGCAAAAATTAAATATCATAAAAAGTAGATTGGACATGTTGTAAAGTGAAAATTTAAAAAAAAAAAGTATTCTGTTGGAGGAAAACAATAGGTAACATAAAAAATCCCAAAAAGAAGGCAACCCCATTATGCACGACGCCATCGACACTTACGAAGAAAATTTATATTACTATCCACAGAGTTTTCACAGTAGCTTTCGGCAACAGTACTGGCGACTATTTTAAACATGTGCATAGCATCTTTAGCAACGACTGCAACATAATTCTCGCATATACATATCTCAAATGGACTAAAACCCAGTTCAATAAGAAATGGTAACTCTTCAAAATCGACGAATCTCAATTTCGATATGTCGTGAGTCCTTATATGAAATCGGTAAAGATTGACAGTGTGGCGTGACAGTATGATCAAATTCCCTGATACCTATAACTTATCGCTTTGTAAAATTTTCCGAAACATAAAAACAAAAAGCGGAACTTCCACCTGACAGCAAGCAATAGCATTAGGATTCCTCTTAACAGGTATCTCAATCATCTCCAAACTTCCTAGCTCAGATTGATTGGTTGTGGGAGTAACTCTCCCTGCAATCCTCGCTCTCATTGGCTGAACCATGCCGCACTCTGATGAACCCAAACTCACTCCGCTGCTGGTCATTTTTGACTGCTGTAGGGTTGCGATGCTACCCCAATTCACATAAACCCTGACAAAATTGATTTCTCTGTTTTGCCTATTGAATTTGGTTTCCAGGGTGGAGACATAATCACCTAAACAGTGAGGCTATGATTCGAGCATGTGTATAAATTGTAGAGCCGTACCGTTTAAGCAATGCAGAATTTGAACTACTTCATCAACAGTGGGAAACGTGAACAATACTTCCGATTCTTTTTGTAAGTCGCGCACTTCTACGCAATTATTAGTGAGGGCTAAAAGTAATCTGTCGGGCGGAGCTACCGTGCAAGCCGTCGGCTGCTCCACGGTATGAACGTTCTGATTTGTGAAATGATGGACAGAAATTACACGAACCATTTTCTAAACTAAAACCAGTCGACTAAATGGAATATGTACATTAAATACCTGGTAACGTCGACAAATATACTTAATTTAGTCGAAAAACAAAGGAGTGCCTCATTTAATTAACCTAATTTATTAAACAATAAAAAGGAGGACGAACCACCGTCGAACTTTTTCAGTATCGATTTTTGCATGAAGTATCAAATTACGTACATTTAAAGTGGAATCGGGTGAAATAATACTAAGTCGAAGGCATTTACTACTTCAATCGTAACTTTTCGGAAAACATTTTTCGAATTTTCTGTTTGGAAGAAGTTTGTTTTGAATTTGTTTGTAGGCAATTCGTGTTAGAAATGTCAAAAAGTAAATAAAAGGCAAGGACAGCGGATTGGTGAGTTTAAAACAATTTCCTACGAAGGTCAATTGCTTGCTTGCTGAGATTATATTAATATTATTTAATGTAGATACTCAAATTAATTAATCAATATAATTTAATATCGCACAGTAGTTGTAAAAAAAGATAACCCTTTTTAAGGCTATTCTCAGTAATGACGTCTTAGAACTACAAGTATCAAATTGTTTATTAAATAAGTTGAATTTATTTTAAAAATGACTAATGACAAACTAAAGAACGCTTTTTCATATTTCCCTACTTGCCTGAATTTACTATTTTAACAAAATCGGTCAAAAAGACCTTTACAGAATTGATGCAGAAAGAAACCAACACCTTTAGGTTAATGTTCCTCTACCCGTCAAATTGAAAACTTGCTAACCACCCAGAAAAATTTAAATTTTCGCTTAATTTTTCGTAGAAAGCCAGGGCAAATTAAACACTACCATATGTTTACAGTTTTTATTAAAAATTCAAATAGCAAACATTTAAAAGTCGAATATAGCAAGTATTTATCAAAAATGATATAAATAGGACCACAGCAACAAGTTAAATGCACTATTATTAGTTTCGTATTCAAAGTTACAATAAGCGGAATTTGCAGTTTTCTGTGAAAATGGTAACAAAAACAAGTGTTTTGGTATTGTGCTATTCACAACCGATAAATTTACGAAAATGGCATCCTCAGGGTATCCAAAAATAGTCCGGTGTATTATCTTAGAAAAAGGCGGCTTATATCAATCAAAAGCGAGTTGATCATATTTGACCGTTACGTGATAAAAGTTTATTATCGTTTTGAGTTTATTTTTAATCGGCGAATACTCAGCCACCGTTCTACGTTATAAACATTTGTTTTGCAACATTACGAGTAATAATTTTCTTTACTAAGGATATCACCACCGATATCAACTACTGTACCTGCATCAGTTTATTAATTTTTACAAAATTCCAAACCAAAACTTTCATTCCGGCAATTAACGACGCGAACGGAGTCAACGGTCAAAAGAAGCCAGAACAACGTACTAAGTAAGCGGTATCACTCATTCCTATATAGATTTTTTCTTCGTCCAATCAGTAAGAAGGTAAATCGCGCTTGCACTTCCCCATTTAACGACCAACGCTGAAAAAACTGACACCGAATAAAAATGAACAGGAGCCACCAAAGCACGAAAACAGGAATGAGGTTAATACTTTAAGACAATAGATGGCGAGTATACTATGTATGGTCAGTTATTCCACAGTTTTTTGCCTTTACTTTGAAGCTGTGGTGCCACCTAGCGAATACAAGGGGGACTAAGTATATCGATTTTATAGAAGGGATGTGACATATAATTTCTCAACACTCAACACTTTTACTGTCACCCCGTAAAGCAGAATGTTTGCGAATTTTAATTGCCGGACGAGAATGACCAATGACGCGAAAAAAAAAAAACAAAAAAAAACAAAATTTCCATAATCTATTATAGAATAATAAAAATTAACAATATAAACACGAATAATATTAGAAAAAAACATACAGAAAATACATCACAAACATGTTTCGATATCTATGTACATATAAACGCTAGTATTTATGTACAGAATTATTGAGGGGGCCCGCGGGCATCCCACGCGTTCCGGATTTTTTCCCCTTTAAACAGTGCGGATCGAATATCCTAATACCCTCCGGGCCGCCATATTACGGAATACTATTTAAAGTTTACATTTTATATCACGAAAAATAACCCCCGCCCCCCTACCCCACCGATGTGTTGAATGTTTTCCTCCTGAACGTATTACTTTTCCAAACAAAAAAAAATATCAAAAAGTAAACAATAACGAGGGGGCGCTGCCCCATCAACCCTACACACAAAAAAAATCACACATCTTTCCACTGGAAATGGCTAGCGCGTGGGACTAGAAAAAACTATTGCTTATTTTTCGTTCCTATTTATGATAGCAGTCAACACACCAAAAAAAAAACACTCGGTATTTAAATATAAACGAAGAGGAAGTAACCCCCGCCCCAGCTGCCGCAGAAACGGACGCTCCCCGGAAAAATTATAAGGAAACACTGTTAAAGCAATAAAGTCAGTCCTATGCAACCAACACAATCGTTACCGGTCGTGTTTGCAAGCCGAACCGCAGATGCCAGAGTGACCACGCCCCTCAGCATTTCAGAACATTTAGTTTTCGGAAATAAAGCAATTAAACATGGATGTTTAAAAAGCCGCCAGTGACATCATAAGACTGCAAATAAGAAAGGGGTCAGTGCTTAACTGTTGACGTTACTTTTTTACTGAGATTCACTGTAAAAAAAAAGTTATAAATCCCAACAATCCATAATTCATTTAAGTATTTCTCGTACTAATTTGTTTGAGGGTGAAATCCACTTATGGGCCTACTTATAGACAGTTACATTGCACCAACTTTGAGCGAAAACTAACTAACAAAAAGCAGCTCGTAACTGATAAAATAGTGAATAATTCAGGCTTATAAATGTCGTGTACTACAAATTCTGCATGTTTATCGTTTTTAAAATAATTGCTACTTTATCACAGACGCATAGTTCTCAGATACCGAGTAAACGTTATTTACTGGCATGTGACGTCACCGCTGATCGATTTCGGTAAGTCGTTAAATCGCTGGGGGGCGTGGCTATGAAGAACCGGTAACGGATGATTACGAATCGGTGCATTATTCGATCGCTTTCGACATAAAATCTATGAACCGCCTGGCGTACTGATCCGGATCGCACGTGCTGATTCCGTCCACGTTCGAGCCGTACTTGACAGTTTTCGCCGCTTTCGCGGCCTGCTTCTTGACGCCGTAATGCGTCAGCACGTCTATGATCGCGACGAAGTAGATCTCCTTGACGGGGGCGGTATCGCAACTAGGTATGGCGTAGATGTCTAACTCCGGGATTATGCCTCCTGCGAAAGCATCGGTTCGCGTGTAGTAAACCCCGGAAGTGTTATTTCGCAAAGCAGCAGAGTGACGCTGTAAACCCGAAGCGGGACAAACGAACTACTGTCAAGCCTTGCGCGGCGGTCCAATTTTTACAAACGGCACAAGAAAAATTAAGTCTCGTTGCTAGTAAATTGGTCGAAATTCATTTTATTTTTAAGGGGGTAATAAGCCCGGTAGACACTAGTGATAGAACGATACCGAAATAGATATCGGTATATTGACAGTGAAATAATTACTAATATATACGAGAAATGGTCCATCTACAAATGTTATACACTGGCTTTTTATATTTTAGGATAATATCAAAATGTCTATAAAAGAGGCCCCGTTTATCTTTCACATTACTTTTAATTTACTTTTACTAAACTCTCCGTAATAGTGCGCAATAGTTCTTTTTTTAATACCGCCATTTTTTACTTCCTTTCTATTTGACCTCGCCAAGCACTAAAGTGTTGAGTATGAAATAAAAAAACCTGTATCTAATGAAATTTTACATCACAAACCAATGCTTTCCCCACAATGGAATTTGCCCGGTTTTAGTTTTGGGCTTGTATAAATAGATGGCGCTGTTTATGTTTGCAGCGAATTTGACAGAAAAAATTAGAAGCAACATTTGCGTTGTTTTATAAATAAAGGCATTTAGTTCTATTTTTTGGAAACTCTGGTATACTAAAGAAACAAGAAAAAAATCTAAGTGAAAAAAATATTCAAGGGGAAACTGGAGACTCTTGAGATGAGGAAATCTATAATCAGATCAAGAAAAATCTAACAACTCCAAAAAAAAATGGAATTTCCTAAAAAACTTCAATATTTTGTAGTTTAACACATTGTTTTTATAAAAAATGGCAATCAACAATTCGTTTAAAAAACCTGTAAGCATTGCAATCTAACCAGGAAAATTAAACCGATTATTATAAAAAATTAAAATAAAGAATTTCTTAAACAAAAAAAATATGTATTTAAATGCAATCCAAAATTAGCTATAAATGTAGGAGAATAGGCTTCCCCATTAAACGAATTTTAAATTTGAGGCAAAACATCAGAAATTATCTTTAATGACTTGCTCAAGTTTTTCTTAGTGGTTTAAAGTTCACCCAGAGCGCTATAAATATTACGTTACACGAAAACGCCTTGTGAAGTCAAGATGCATTAAATGTCAGCGGGTGGGAACTGTTAAACTAACCTAAATCCTCTTATCTATGGATTCTATGGTCATTGTACTTAATAAATATTTAAGGTTGAGGAGACTTTACTGTACGTTATATGTTACTTTATATAAGTTTTCCGCCTCCCATATGGTAACAACTTTTGTAGATTTTTTAAAAGTATTTCAAAAATATTTGGCAGGTGAGTTCTAAATATACTAGTATACATTTCTGGCAAATAAGGAAATAGACAGCACTTTCATTTTGTTTGTCCACCGACAAGTTATTGTATGTGGTAAATACATTATTGCCATTTAATTAAAACGTTTGAACAATCAATAAGTGTCACAAGTAAAAAAGAAAAACTTATGCTCGCAAAAATTACACCGCGTCCACGACCAACAAAATACCAGTCTAAAATAAATGCATTTCTAATTAAAATAACTTTAGGAATCGCATAGTGTCTACCAGGCTTGAGATATGAGATTGGTTTTGGTAAGGCTATTTCATTATAAATAAGAATATATTTAAAATACAAAAAAAAAACCGTTGATTAATTTTTTATAGACCTTAACAACTTGGGGAACATGGTAGTAACCATTTCTAAAAATTAAATCTAAATTTCAAAATCGATGATCCCGCCCGCCCGACGCACGAGCACCCTCCACCAAACGTAAAACGTAAACGTAACGCGTACGGCAATAGAAAAGCGAAAACCGATAAAAGCGACGTAAAAAAAAAATCGTAAAAAAAATGTCCGCTCTTTCTCACCTGAAACGTGGTTAACATACTGGTAAATTTTGTTCAATTTACCTTCGTACTGCAGACTGTGCTCTCTCAGATAGTGGGCCACCCCGCTCGGCGAATCCGGCGGGGTGTTAAAGCCCATGTTGCGGTTCTCGAGGCCGGAGCCGGACTCGCTCTCGTCCGAGTCCTGCTGGTTCTCGGCCTCGAGCTCTTTTTCCCGCTGCCGCTCCTGCTCGCCCCGCTCCACCTCGTGGATGCCTGCAATTAAAACGGTACCGTACAGTACTTAACCTCGCTTCAGCTCTTAGAAACAACGCTTGTTTTTCCGTGCATACATTTTTATTGGGCAAACATAATATCAAATTATGGAACAAAATGAATAAAAAGCTCTTAAAAAAATGTTCAGATTATGTTGACTTCAAATCAAACCAATTCTTATTCAAGAGGAAAATTTTCTTGCTATTTCTGTTTGACAGAAATATCGTAAAGAAAAGCTAGCTCGAACAACTATAAAATAGACAAATTGAGAAAGGCTCCAGGGTTGCTTGAGCCTAATAAACAACTATACTTCCACCTCCCATTATTCCTCATAATGTATTTCTTCAACACCTGCCAAAAAACCTCATCTGCAATAAATAGTTTAACCATCAAACCAAACCAACACTGTCCATCGCCTCTTCATCAACCATTGAATATTACCTTTCCATTTCATTTCCCCTTTTAGATTAATAAAAGAACATTTTACATTTTACAAAAAGGAAGGAAGTGTTCTGGGCTCTTTGTTGTTCGTTTTATATATATTACTCTAGTCTGCTCTACTCTGGTGGTTAATCTGTTAGAACGTAAGGATCAAAAATTAACCAAGGCTGTCATCATATTTAATTTTCACGTTGGCCTTTCGCCTAAGTACGTTTTGGTAAAATTTGGTTGGCACTTGCCGCTTAGAGTCTTAAATTTTACTCAAAAAGCCAGTTATTGGTAGCATTGTACCCAGAACAACGGTTACAAAATTCTCAAACTTTTTAGCTCCAGTGGATTTTCAATAGTAAATGTGAGAGGAGCAAAGATTATTGATTCAAAGTTCTGTCCTTAAATTCTTAGGTGTTGAAGTGGATGCCAATTCATGCGACCATCAAACAAATAAAGATAAAAATAAAGCTCTCCACGCGGAATTGGGTTAATATTTTTTTAGATACATTAATTTGGTTCCCTACCCTAGATTAGATCATGACAATTCCTATACTTGGCATGTAAGTTAAACTCAAATCAATAGCCGATTGGAAGAATTGAATGGAAAACCCAACTTTCGCTTACCCAGCAAAAGGCTATAGTCCATCAAATGTAGTTTGGTGAGAAAATCGACGTCCGCTGTCAGAGTTTCCATTAGTTTCGACTTTGCCTCGTCGCCGATGTAAACTTTCATTTGTTCGTTGACGAAATCGTTATCCTTTAACGTAGGCAACTCTTTTTCCCTCTCTTTTTCGGATGCCTCGCGATCGACAGTCGATCCTTTCAGGTCGAACTTGCGATGGACATTCAGGTGGTTGGAAAATACGTTCCGGGTGACAACGATGTAGGTCTCTACATTATCGACGGTTAGTCGGTACATCCCCAAGTACTGGGGCAGAAGTGTTTTGCCGTGTCTTTCGACTATGTACTGCAATTTACGATATCATGTCAAAAGGGGAGACGTGATTGACTCTGTGATGTCAGTTACTTACGGGATGATAGTGTTTTAGAAACGAATGCATCCGTTCCACTTCCTCGGAGGTTAGCGTTTTGATCACAAAGATTTTGTCGTAGCTTTGGTAGAATTTTGCTCCGCTCTTGCCGGCAGAGTCGTCGGGCAGAGGTTGGGACCTTTAAATTGATGAAATAGTTTGAAACGCTACTTCAAAAATTTTTGAAAAAAAAATCATACAAGTTATTATTGATACTTTATAGTAATAATAATTTTCAATATTTATTTAGAAACGACAGTCTTTTTGGTACATATTTTGAAAGTTAATCATTGCTTAAGGTCTCAATTACTAAACGCAATTTTATTTGTCCCGTGTCCTAAATATATATCTCTACTGTAAAAGCAAAGAGAAAATATGACCGAGTTCCTTCTATGCGCATGCGTGTCTGTGGATCATTTGTATTCTCGCTATTGTTAATATCAGCTAGGAATAAAATTAGGGTTTTTAATGCGGTATATCCTTATAAATTCAGCTGATTACTACAAAATCAATCGAGCAAAGTGACGTCAAGTTAAATATTTGTAATTTGTACAAAATTTTAAGCACAAACAAAAAGTGAGCAATCGAAGCCTATAATAAAGGAATGGAATGAAATGAATACATTAACCAATCTACAATTCCTAATTTAGCAAAGGAAATACCACACAGATTTAGGAATACCTTTTGGAAAAAACCGCAAAAATTAAAACCAATACAAATTTAAGCAGTCTAACTTTAGACCTGGAATCACCATTGATAATATTGACGTGGCACGCCAACAGGAAACTTTACGCCAAAAAAAAAGAAAAACTAAAATTAGAAGCAAATCAGATTGTTTGATCCTTGCTAATTTTAGCCTCTGAATCACCTTTGATAAAAATTATATGGTGTACCTAATCTAGCGCAAATCTCAAAAAGATATTTGTGATTTGAATGGGTATCATTTTCTACAAAATAATAAGTGTACAAGCACAAAAACCTAACAAACAATAATTGAAATGTATCACAACCTTTTTGCTGTTGAATTATTCATGCAACAATTCCAGTTACATTAATTATTTATGTAAAAGCAACATTAATTAGGAAAAAGGTAGAATTAAAAACGGACAATAGCCTGTAAGCAAAACAAGTTGTAAACAAGATACCTGTTTTTAAATTTCTAAAAGAATATATTTTACATAACTTTATTTGTATGTAGCTGAAGGACATATTCGCCAAACTCGTTTAAAGGCAATAAAAATATTTTAATCATTACCACCGCATGTTCTACTATAAAAATATAATTTTTTAATTTTTAAACAAAGAAAACCATTTTCTCGGTAAATCAATTTTAGCAATAAACTAATAAAATAACTAACCTTGTAAGAGACTCTTTGTAGTCTAAGTCATCAATTCCAAATCTCTCTCTGATATTTCTAAACACCATTGGGCAATACTCCTTCACTTTGAAATGTGAGGGCATGTTTTCTCTAAGAGGATAATTGCAAAAACAATTATCGTAACAATTAATGAAAACTAATAGGTACTTACTTATTAAATAAATGATTATCAATCTTTATTTTGGAATAAGCTCGAAAATCGTCCGGCAACAACATAACAGGAATTGTAACGTGCATCAGTTCATTAATCTAAAAGGAAAATCATTTCAATCTCTAAAAACATAATAGCCTCCCTACATTTACCGTGTGATTAATGCCCCACATGAACACGCTGAGGAACGGCTCGTTCGCCCTGAATAGTTTTACCTTTTGATGTTTCACCCGAAAATGTTTCTTTTTTAGCTTGGATTGGCCGCTGGAACTCATCATGACAGTTTTTCCGGATTAATTACCTCCTGTAACTCACTGCACCACGTTATTTATGGCATGGCATTGTTACACCAATTTATTTTATCGGCGGATTAAGCGGATTCGACGAAGCTGGTTTGTTTATCAACGCGCTGATTATCAATTTTGATGTGTAAAATTATGTTTCGGAACACACCTTCATTGATTAATTTTCGGTTACTTTCGTTATCGGTCTCGAATGTTCCCGATCGGACCTAGTCCGGTTCACAGGTTCCTCACTGGAAACGCAATGTTCAACGTTTATAAAATTTATTGATTGAAATCATATTTACTTCTATGCGAATTGCAATAAACCTTAGATGTGTATTTTATCGATTTAATAACGAAATCTTCAATAATTTATACGAAAACTATAGAAAACAAACACCATTGACAACAGATAAGCGCCTGTATTTAAAACCACGGATCACATAAACTATAGTCACATTTTTTCATTTGTCAAACATTTTAATTTCGATACATAACCTTATTTGATAATTCTTCGAAATTTGAAGTGATTTGCTCGCAAAGCCTAAACAATGGCTTTGTCTGAAGATGTAAAACAGCGACTTTCCATTGTTATTGAGCTCGGAAAAACTGTATTTCACTATGGTTTCATACCTACGGTGTTATATCTAGGTTAGTATCATTATTGTTGAATTAATAATTTTCACACTACCCATTTTAGGTTTTACTAAAGGCGCAGACCCCGGCATGCCCGAGATTACATTGGCAAAGTAGGTATAAAAGTTATTATTTTCATTAAATTAATAATTACTTTTTTTCCAGCTTACTATGGTAATTTTAATATTTGGTGTGCAAAAATGTTTTGATATAGTAATAGGTCAATAAAAAATTAATTTGCTTTATTCATTTATTATTTGGAAAAGTAGATGCAATAATACTGCAAATCTACACATTCAAATAACAAAATAAACACTGGAAAAAAATCATGAGATCAGCCATTGTAAACTAAAATTGTTGAATAATTATAATTCCATGTTTATTTATTATATTGGAATCTTTTTAAAAATCTTTTATCCATTATCTGCTAAAAAACAATTTGATTTTCTTTCAACTTTCCTGCAAATTCGATTAACATGTTATCAAAAAACTTAATGAGATAAAACAACAAACTGTGGTGTTAGAGATGAGTAAAATGCCCCATCTTTGTCTTAACATTTTCACAGTTTTGTTCTAATTTCCTGTAAGTTCGGTATTTATTTGTAATCCTGCGAACATATAGACATACTGTTACAAATGCTGTTACTATGATTAGCGAAACCGCAGCCCTAAAAAAAGATTACTCCATTAGAAAATGGAAACAATGGCAACAATAATTGTACCAGTAATACCAAATTTCTACAGACTTTTTGCAGCATTTATCTTCGCCGCAACAATATTCGGTATTTTCGTCACATGTTCCGAATTCACAATAGTCACCAACAACCTGAAAATTCAAGTAACATTCAACGGCTTTGGCTAATGTAATTATATTACAAAATCGATAAACAAGAAACTATAAACAATTTTCGAAAATTTCATGAAGACCGAACCTAATCTAAATGAAAATATTTTATCTAATTATTCACAGAGATTGGCGACACTGAATATTAAATTCTTCAATCTTCTGTGCCATTGCCACCACAATTTTTTTCGAAATGCCAATTTAGGTTCTATGCTAATATAACCTTACTGTGAACGACCGCAACAAACAACAGCTGTTTTGACATTTAAAGAACAAATAAAATTGTTCACACAACTAACCTTTATTTAAAAAAAAAAACTCAAAAATTAACACATGACAATGACCAAAAATCAATTTTTCTTTTTGCTTTTCTTTGAGGCTTCTTTTGTTGTACTAGCATTTCCTTCTCCAACTCTCGCTGGTTGCCAATTCAACGGTTTCCTCCGATACATCGGCCAAGGAGGCAACGTCAACTGCAAATGTTTAATCAAAAAACAGTACTGTTAAGTGTCGACATCGCTTACCAGCGCCGCCAATAAGAATCCTGCCCCCAAAATATATACCGTCTGAGAAAACTGTTGGATAATGTAACCCCAAATTAAACCAACAGCACCGAATAGCGTAATTATAATCCTGGACAACTTTTCCGCTCTTGCTTGCCCTTCGTAGTCCTAAAAAAAAAATTGACATTTTTATTTGCTTTATAAATGATAGGTTATATATCAATTTGCTTACCAAATGTGTGGGGATATTTTTTATAAAATCCATTTTGAAACTATTCTGAAAACTAACAATTGATTACTTGTTTTATTATTCATTAATGTTGACGTGTTCTTTTTCAGCATAAACTCTTATCTATGGTCTTCTTGTTTCTCGCAGCACAGAAAAATCACAGAATACGTCTTCTTCAATAAATGAACGGTCACTTATATCGAAACCAATCGTCTATTAGCGTTCCAGGCTATAAAACACAGAATACATTTCTACGTATTCTATTAAGAAGGTAATATACAAATTGATATGTTTACAATTTAAAAACTATATTAAAAAACTAGAAAAGGTTAAAAAATCACAGCGATATTTAAATAAACTAACGGACATTCAATTAAATCTTTAAGGCTCGACGTTTGCTTTGGTGTCATTGACTGCGCTATCTGTTGTTTCCCTCACCATCGGTTTCCTGTCCACAAAGTATTCTTGTATTTCCTCCAGCGTTTTGCCTTTCGTCTCGGGTAGGAAAAACCACACGAAAACGGTACCCAACAGGGCAACCGCGCCATAGAAAAAGAACACACCGTGAGATCCAAAACTTTTCAACATGGTGGGGTACAATTTAACAGTGATAAAATTAAATACATAGTTGCAGGCGACACTGAGCCCCGCGGCGGTACCCCTCAAATTTCTGGGGAACACCTCGGCCGTTATTGCGAAAGGCAGTGGGTAAAACCCCATTGTGCTAACAAAAAAATACGCGTTGAGTAGTATCAAGGGCATAATTCCGAGAGCCTGCTGGAGTGAGCCAGCTATCCTTCCTTGTTCAACGAGAAGGATATAGCTTCCTAAAACCACCATACACACTGTCATCCCTGAACCAGAGATAAGAGACAAAGGTCTAACGCCAAATTTTTTGCTAAAATAGCTCAACATCAACATGGATACCAATCGTACGGTGGCGATGATTACTATTGCCACGTACGGATCTATGGTGACTTGAGCCGCTTTCACAATATCGATGGCGTAAAACATGATGACGAACACACCGGAAAATTGCTGGACAGCAAAGTAAACGAGCACGAGCGCGAAAGGTCTCAAAAACGACTTCCTCGCCAGCAGTTTTATCTTTTTGACGAACTGCTGGGTCGGAGTCTTGGTCTGTGCCCGGGTGACCTTGGTTCCGGCGACCTTGATCAACGACTCGATCTCCGTGTGCACGTCTTCCGTGTAACTTTTGCTGCTGTGCAGTTTGCAAACGCTGCGTTTCGCCTCCTCCACGCGGTTCTTCGAGATTAACCATGATGGAGATTCGGGCACCCAGAACGTCAAGAAGAGAAAACTGATTAAGGGGAATATGGCCGCTATCAATGCGATTAAACCCCAGTCATCCTGAAACATAAATATTTGCTCTTAATGGAATGGGCATTACGTCCAGAAGCGAAGTGAAAAGGCGGCGCGCACGCTTGACCTACGGACTTACATCGTTTAATTGCCAATTTATATTTGCACATTTTATATCTTGACAAACTCACATTGCACTAGCGTGTGCTGGTGATAATTTTTAAAATATTTTTTTTTCGGAAATACAACACCTTAAATTTTTTAAAAACCTTTAGGAAAAAATAAAAACAATTATAAGAATTTCGTTATTTTCTCGGTCCTATTCAATCCAATTGGAGTGTTTCGAATTTGTTATTTTCATTCATTCAAACTTAAAATGACAAAAAAGTTAAGGGGTTTCGTGGACGCATACACAATTCTTTCGTGTTCTGTGGTGTCCGTATATCTGAAATGACGTCGTCGTTTCTAGGCGACAAATAAACCCGTGGCGCGGGATCCTGTTGTATCGATATTCAAAAGATGACCGACTTCTATTCGAAATCGCTAAAAAACATTCCGAACAACTTCGACAAGGTTAGAAGCGAAGCGAAAGAGAGACGCAGGACCGTCCTTTATTTGATTTTGGCCTATCTCGAAGAACAGGGCCTTCGCAACACTGCCGAAAACTTAAGAGCCGAGGCGCTGCTGGACGCGGCGGCGTATCAAACATGCGAAAACGTAGACTTAGACTTAATCCTACGCGAGTACCAGAGCTACCACTACGTCAAGTACCAAAAGTACCCGAAAATATTGAGGAAAACGGGCGAACGTAGCGCGTGCGCAATCAAAACTAAGTCGACCGATGTTAAAAATAAAACGCCAGACAATCAAAACGGCGTCAAACCGCCTTGCGAAGCGGAACCAAGTTTCCATTTCGATATCTTGTCGTATGAGAACTCCCAAAACGACCAAAAGCCGCGAAATTGTACAGAAACCGACTACGGTGACCTAACCAAACAAATACTCGACGATATCGTACCGCACGACGCAGGTATCGGTTGGCAACACTGTGTGGGATTATCAACCGCAGTGGAAATTCTAAAAGAGAGCTGTATCTACCCTCAACAGTACCCGGAGTTGTTCGTAGATTTAGCACCTTGGAAAGGCGTGCTGCTGTACGGACCTCCGGGAACGGGGAAAACCCTTCTGGCTAAATCGCTCGCTTGCGAAGCGAAAACGACATTCTTCAATGTCACATGCAGCACGTTCGTCAGCAAATGGCGGGGCGAGTCCGAAAAACTACTGAAGACCTTGTTCGACACTGCCACATCGAACACCCCGTGCATAGTGTTCTTGGACGAAGTTGATTCCCTAGTGTGCAACAATGGAACAGTCCACGAAGCTTCCAGAAGGTTCAGGAGCGAACTTTTGGTACGGATTGACGGGATCGTGAGCGCGGAACCAAACGTTTTCGTATTGGCTAGTACGAATTCGCCATGGTTACTCGACAGCGCCGTCTTGCGGCGATTCGATAAGCGCGTACTTGTAGATTTGCCCGATAAGATGGCGCGAATTGAGATTTTCCGTTGGTATTTAAAAAATCGCGCGCACAATCTCACGGATTGCGATTTTGAGGCAATAGGCGAGGAGACTCGCCATTTTTCTGGGTCTGATATAAAAACGCTGGTCAAGGAAATCGTGATGGAGTCTGTGAGAAGCAGGATCGGTGACAAGCAACGAAAAAACGGAGCACCGGAAAAGATGACTTACCGAAGTGTGCAGATGGCTTTGGAGAAAGTCAAGCCGTGCGCGAACGACAAGCTTTGCGCACGGTACCGAAAGTGGGCGGAGCAATTCGGCGCGTTGTGACTGCGTACTTTTTATTTCTATCTTTCGTATTTTTTTAAACAAAAGTTTACACTCTTTTATATGGCCACTAAATTATAATTAAAGAGATTAAGTTCCGTTATTTTGCGTATAAAAAAATAACTCTTATTACTCTGATTACCAAGAGAAATTACTAACGATTCGCGAATACCGAATCGAAAGCCAAAATAGAGAGTATACTAATTAATTAAGAATAAAATTTTGGATTGCTCCATCTCTTGACAAAGTTGAAAATAAATCCGTTCGTGGTTATTGCACAGTGCCGACTTTTCAGTACTATAGTTTTTGTAATAGTCTGCTCAATTTTCGTGAAACGAAAGATGCCGATTCAATGCTTTTTTTTAAAACGAAAACCCTGTATATATTTTAAAAACTTGATTCCGATTTTTAAAAAATGTGTAATTATCTCAAATAGATTATTCTAAATTAACATATATTTCGACATTTTAAAAAATATACTTCTATTGTATAATAATTTTATTCCACTTCACTTGTTATTATTATTATTATTATTATTATTATTATTATTAATTTAATTGAACATTAAACATTTTTTCCAGGGTTACTGTATAAATTGTTTTTAAAAAATTAAGAGTAGGGTATGAAATTGCTGGTATGACTTTGATCAGATAGCAATATGGCACGAACTATGACAATCTGGAACACTCTCTTCAAAACTTAAACTTTAAAACTTCAAAAATCCGAGCAATTCTGTATTATACGTTCGAGACAATCATTGTCGGAAATGCTTAAAGAAGAATTTCTAAATGTTGCGAAAAATATTGTTAATATGCATATGAAAAATAACCATTGGTCTGTGACAAAATACGTACTCTGTGACTTAGGATAGAGAAAAAATGATCTGTGTGTTGTCGCTTACGTGTGTAAGGTAGCAACCCGACATGTTATTTTATTTAATCAAATATACATGATTTTCCGTCTCGACATATCAGGATTTCATTCGCACCTCTGCGTTTCACCGGGTCATGGGCCACACAAACCCCAAATGACAAATATCTGGTAGCTTCCGGAAATGAGTTTCAGCAAGTTTTTTAAGGTTACCATTTTTTATATTCTAGTCGTTATTTTTTGTAATAAAATAATAATAATAATTTTTTTCTTCCTATATATTCGTATTTTTTGTAATAAAATTAAATTAACAATAATAATGATACAGAAAACAGGTACACCGTAAATTACATCTAAACAATTATACATTTTTGAAAAGCGTGTAAAAAAGGCAATGAAATTAAAAATATACTATTTAAAAATGTGTAAGATTCATGGTTTTAATATGATTCAAAGTGTTTTTTTCCCTAAAATCATTTTTCCTTCCAGTTTACACCCATAAATCTTTTTAGCGTCCGTCGTAGGCATTCTTATTGCCATACCGGTACCTACCTTCAAAAACAACCCCAACAGATACACCGTGAATATGCCCACAGCATAAAACAGAGAAACCCACGTGGTAAACACACTTCTAAGGTCCGAAGTGGCGACCTCCGCCATGTAAATCGCAGCGGGACATCCGCACAACCCTGCCAAATGTCATTCGCGTCAGCTTTCGTTGAGAGTTTTGGCGCGTGCGCAAAATTTACCCGTCGACAATCCGGTCAGCACCCTCCCGAGCAACAGTACTGGATACAGATAATTTCCGGAGTAAAACGCGGCTCCCACAGTCGCCCAGCCCAAGAAGGCCGTGACGTTGACCACCGCTATCGCCCTTTTCCTGCCGTACTTGTCCGCTATCGGTCCTGCCAGTAAGCAACCGAAAGGGGTCGCTAGCGAAGCTATGCTAGCTGCAAAAGTTGGGGTTGTTTTGGTTAGAAAACTAGCACTGGCTTGAAAATTAATTCTAGTAAACTTTCAGTGTACGGTGTGTCCCATTTTTGATGGTATTAACGAAATAGTAGATAATATAGTAGCTCTACTACCATTCACTCTATTTCACTCACTAGTCTGTACATTTTGCCATTTGACGAGATCTAGGCATATTTTGAGCAAATACTGCTTAAAAAATGTCGCACCCAAACTTATTGACGATCTGACAGCGGCCATGTTGGTTTTTGAATGCCTCAAGGTCATTGGTTACAAGCGACATTTTAAATTTCGCGCATGCGCATATCGAATGCACCTTCTCAAAAATGTTTTTCATAGTTGCTTCCTACGTTCTTGTATTAGAGAGCTACTTTCTCATAAAATGAAACGTGGAACGAACAGAAATTATTCGATTTTTAGATACAGGATGTTTTTGGAATTTTGAGATACTCGGTGTACCTTGACTATGCGCAAACTTATGAAAACGTGAAAACTAATCTGGATAGGGTTTTATTTCGTAGAATCTAGTGGCATAGTCGGATTTCTTCTGGAACTCATACATTTTAACATATAACCTATAGTTATAGATATATAGTGTTTTTTAATGGACACAGCTTTCCAAAAATATATAAAATATTTCAAATACAATACAAGTTATCTTTAATTCTATTTATTTTTATAAGTAGGGTATGGAAAAATTGGTATATGCAAGAGTGCAGTTAAGCTGTGAAGAAATCAACAGGATGATTGGCAAAATGTCACCAAGTTGCAGCAGAAGGTTCGTAAATAATATTACAGTGGCCGTTTCTTTGAAAAATTATATAATGTATTACATGTCAAAATAAAGTTGTGTGTATGCATGTGTGCACTCCTAAAATATCCAATTTCTCGTAATGGTCATATTTTGGGTTAATATGAGCCACAGTAAAAGGAAGAGGAGGCAGAAATAAATATAATGTATTATAAACACCTTTTTCACTCGCACATTCCTTAAAAAAAAATAAAATTAATTCTAAATATGCATTTTTGAAAAGCTCAACTCAAAACAGGTATAAAAAATTATTAAATGAGACACATGGTGTTCCATTATAAACAACACAAATTTAGTTTGTATATCAACATTTGTTTCAGAACGAAACGGACACGCAAAAAATCCTATTTAAATGTTTTTTTAAAAAGGAAAACTCCTGAAAGCGTCCTATATTTACGAATCCAAGATAGCTATGATATTTCTGTTTGTGTCAACTTTTATTTCGTAGAAAAAACATCACTGTAGTTTATGTAGTAGTTTATGTAGATACCACTAAATTTCCATCGGCGAAATTAAATGTCACTTGTCAATGTCAAAATTGAATTTGTTAAGGTGTCATCTGGAATATCATTTGCATTATTAGTTTTAGCCTAACTGAAGGCTAAATTAGCCATTCATTACAAAAACTAGCGCTAGGAAGTTTCTACTAAGTCGTCTGGAAGTTTGACACCCTGTACGTTGACGTCAAATCATTTTAGTATATATATTTACACTTTCTGCTTTAAAATCACTCATAGAACAACCTGGCGAAGTTTCGCCACGCAATTACACAACACCCTGTATGAAGATCACGTGCTTACCGAACCAAGAGATCTGTTGACTGTCGAAATCTTTCAAGGCCGGAATGGTCACCGAGGAGAAGCCGATGCTCATGCCCGGCGCGACATTCGAGAAATTGGTCAGGAAAGCCAAGGTCACCTGCAAAAACTTTCCGTTCAAACCGCATTTCCTGCTAATTAGGGGATTGAGTTTCGACTCGACGAGACATTGACATTTCGGCGAAGCGCTATAAACACGGCGTGTTTTTTTTTTTGCCAAAAGCGCCTCGTATTTGCGAAAATAAGGAACCACACGTTGAGGACGCAGAAATTTGAATAAATTTCGGTTTTTCGTGCGGTACTTTTCCGGTCTATTGCGTCATGGGTGCGACCTTGAATTGGTCGGAGCTGAACGCAAGGATATTCAACCGAACACAAATAGTTGGTATCTCGTTGTTTATACACTTACACGGTGGCCAAAATTCTGAATATTGAGTTTTAGATCTAAAATTAGTCCGTAACATAGAAACATTTTCTCAAAAGCAGCGTTACCAGGATTACCCGTAACCATTACCGGAGTTTGAATCTTGAACGGAAAACTATAAGTATAACTTTTTTACCCGACCTCGTATAATTACTATTAACCTTAGTGTAAATTACACATTGATTTTGATATTTGACAGCTGTTCGCTTAGTTATATATTCTTGGGGGCCCTTTCCCCCTTTTGCTCTATCATTTTTTGTATTGCGCTCTATATCTTAATTAATTTAATTTTTATGAAATAAAATGTGATTTGGCAACACTGGATAATATTACATTTTTCTGCATAGCAACAGAGTCGACGCAAAAGCGTTAATACAGCGTTGTAACCTTATGCGCAGTTTGATTGTATTGGTCCTCTAGAACAAGCCTTACACCTGGTAGCAAAAATTGATTAAGAGGTAGCTTAGTTGACTCTAAAAACGTTTTACTGCCTCCTTTTCATATAAAAATTGACTTGATGAAGTAGTTTGTTAAACCGGACAGTGTGCGAGAAATTTCCAGCCATATCTGATGATAAGATGATAGATATCTTTGTTGGTCCTCAAATAAGAACATTATGCAAAGACAAGGATTTTCAAAACATAATTAAATAAGTAATTGATCTTTTTTTTGGGAACTCTAAGGACGAAAACTACGAAAGTATTGTTCGTCTAGGCTGGATGTTAAAACGGGATGTGCCTTCAAAAACACTGTCGAATGTCCGGACAACGCAGCTTTCTGGCGAAAAGACGAAGATTTCACGCAAAAAAGTCTAAGTCTAAGAAGAAATAAATAATTTTAGAAATATGGTTTTTTCCTTTAATATTTGCAAAAGCAAACCTTACGTGATACAAATATAAATGCATAGTTTAATTTTTTTAGTTTTGAAAATAAAAACATTTGTCAAAAAATTTAATTTTGTAGACCTGTGTTATAAAAGAAGATACGGTGCTACCGTATAATGCAGCACTTTCTAAAGCATCCTAAACCTATATCTAAAAATGAAAAGGGGTGGAAGAAAATTTCTTCTGCTTCTACCTTGTGTTTCACAAAAAAACTCATCTTTTTATTTTTAAAGTGCTTGTAAAAGTGTACACGCTATCTGCTTAGAATTCAGATACAAAAATTGCAGGCTATTATCTAAGCCACCAAATGTCAAATAAGCAAACTATATAAAGGAAAACGACAAATATATATTTTTTATTTAAATTTCCCATATTTTTAATCAAAATAATAATGATTTCAGAAATGTTTACAGTAAAATGTACCGGGTGGCCCGTTTATTATGGGATGACTTGAAAACTTGTAAAAAGTATCAAAAAATCTATAGGCAAAAGTTGTTTGCATTGTTATATATTAGTGGACAAGTAATAACTTTCTTACTTTACTTTCAATTGAGGCATTTTTGAACTCATTCTAAGTTTCTACTCATTTTATATATATAGTCTTATCATTTTATCGTTTTTGTTTATCATCTTATCGTTTTTGTGACGTTTGCAACTTTAAATATCGAAAATCTATTGATTTCTCATACTGAAAGCATTTATAGAACAGAATTTACTTTAGCGGTTCGGGTTGATATTTAAAAGAATAAGATAGGCATAGGAAACTTGAACAAAATGGGTCCACTTCCTTTCCCAGAATTCGAAAATGAAAAAATATAGAGAGTATGCTATTTTAAAAAACAATAAATTGTTTTTCAGGAAAAAAAGTGGTACGCCAGAAAAAAATGCTTGAGTCCATCTAAGGACTGCCTCGAAAAGATTTCTTCAAGGGTCCAAATTGCTTAAAAATCTATTAGGATTCTTTTTTTGATAACAGTATATATAATCCTGAACAGAATCTACTTTGTTATATGATATTCAGCTGGTGCCATTTAAACTCAGCAAGATGTTGCCACTTTTATGTAGAAGCGGCAAGTATGCAAGCTGCATACTTAATTAAAAAAAAAAAACAACAATAAATTATAATATAAAAACAAATATTGAATCGATTTTGTTGAAGTTTGACATCATTATTTAGTGTATCCTTTTTATTTAGCCCCAATAGACTAAAATTATTAAATCCAGTGGCGTCCGTCCATAACATAAAGTACATTACAACAATTTTTTTCTCTTTGCTCTCTTAATATGATAACTAATATTACTAAATTTCAAATTAAGAACCTGTATCTTAAAAACTCTGCATTACTTTACTTTACTGCATTGCTTTACTTTTTTTTTACTTCTTTTACTTTTAGGATCATTCGGTCAAAAAATTGAGGTTAGTCTCGAGTGCTGTACATCTCGATGTTCAGTTGTTTAGTTTGTAAGTAAGTTTAGTTCATTTTTAAATTTGTTTACTACTAACGGTTCTGTACAAACCCTATGTATGGTGTCAAATTATAACCAGACACCCTGTACATCACGCACGCACACCCATTTTCCAACCCAATAAGTAAATTTTAAAATAATAAAAATACATAAGAAAAAAATCAACCCTTTCTTTAAAAGAAAACGTTTTATATGTGACGTGCCTTTACAGAGAAACATAACTCGAAAACATCCTATTAACCCAATTAGATAATTAAGAAAATAATATTTCTAAAACTGCCATAGAATCCAACAGCTTAAGCTCAATTAATTATTTGCATCTGTTTAATTTGATACAGGATATCCAAATAGTCAAGACTCTCGGCTATATTTCACATAAAAATAGTTCGTTTTATCCGGTAAATCGTCCTTGTTGGAGATTGGGCATTTGTTTACTGTCTTCTGACGTCAGTGGGTGAAGATTGGTCATATGGTTTCGGTTTTCGCGTCCTTTTGTATAGTCGTCCGTATTTGTCTGCTGTTTAGTTAAAAGTTGTCATTCTTAATAGACTCCATAAACATAACCTGCCCGAACTAATTAGAGTGCGAGCTCTTGGATTCCTTTGTCCGACATCTGCGACCCACATACCTGCAAAGAAACGGTCTTCGCCGACCGCCGCTTTCCTACCGTCTCGTCCATATTCCGTTTGCGTGTTACGTAACGCGCAAGAAAATATAAAATGGACGCGCACCTTAAACGACGAGCATCGCGAAAAACGAGATTCACCGCTGTCCCGTCATTTTTCTTAAGCGATTAGCGACCTGGAAAACCCTACGAATTCCGCCAGGCAACGCGGACAGTTTTGGACAGGTTTAAGCCGGAGCCTGTTTCGACTGACTGATTGATCGACACTTAATTCAGCGTTGCGAATCTCTCGAGCGTTTCGTCGCAGGAATTTGGTTGTGCGATCGAGTGGATCAGAATTTTTTTTTTCACGAGTGTCGAAATATACTCGAGATTAGGATCGGAGGCTAGAGGTCAAACCCGATATTATGTATACGGGGGTGTTTCGGATATCTGAATCTATAGAGGAATTTTAATGCATCCAGATAAAGAACGTTTTTTAAAATCAAAATGATTCAACCCAAATTGCCAGAATTCTTCATGGAACTGATATGGGAGCGAAGAGTATAAATGTTTTTTCTAAATTATTGTAATTTTGTAATTTGAAAGGCGAGGCCTTTCATGTTTTGCGACTTTTCACTAGAGGTTTGTACTAGTTATCTCATTTTGCAAAAACGTAAGCAGAAACGCAGAATTGTTCAACAATACAATCCAAATTCGATTCGGAAAAAAGTGGGATCGTATCGAGATCGTACCTAAAATGAATTCATGTAAATTCGGCTTTGACGTCTGGCTTTAAAATGATCGCCGCCATTAAGCGACCCAATATAACCTCAAAATCCATTTTGTTTGTGTTTTTAATATTTTAATTTCTCGATTAATTAATTGGTTTAATTTAAAAATTAATATCAACAAACTGGGTGATAGCAACTCTGCTAAAACTAAACTACTAAAATCATTAGGAATTTTTGTCTGGAAATCAAGACAGAGAACAAAACGCGGTTATGACAGATATGCTGTCAAAATGTAGAAATTTCAGAACGGTACCCAAACCTCGTGTAAAACGCCTCGGAATTTAAATCTAAAACCAGTTTTGAAAAATTGGGCAGGTGTAAAAGAACTGATAAACCTGAAAATCACCATAAGTCTTTTATTGGGAGATTAGGGTGCTCACGATGTTTGATTATTTACCTGCATATTCCTAGTGAAATTTTATTTGGTTATAAAACAATATACAAATAACACTTAATCTTGAAAATTTTAAAAACATCACTAAAAAAATAATTTGCAGAACAAAAATTTCACCTAAAATTTAAAGGCGGACATTAAAAAAATGGCAAGCAAACTTAATATTTTTTAAATCGAGAAGAAAAATTCTTTTCAAATAAATTAATTAATAATTACCAATAGATAATAGATAGAGAGCCTTACGTATTTTGAATTAAAAGTTTTTTTTAACATTTCAATATTTAACTGTAGACGTACATTTAAGCTTAATAATTTAAGTAATCAAATATTACTATTTATATAATCAAATTAATATATTTTATTTTTTTAATAAACCAGTAAGCAGTTTATTTATAAACCAAACCAACCAAATATTATTCCATATTTTACCCAACAAAGATCATATTGCTGATTAGCCATTACCAATTACAATTAGTTAGGTGGATTTTGCTGTTTAACTTTAACAGAAGGCTTACTATTGGCTGTTAGGCACAGCCTGTTAGAAATGAAGTATCATTTGGGTGGATATTGATACCATGTTGCTTTCTTAAGCAATCTTAAAATTACATTATACAATTCAATTGGTTGGCGGTTTTCTTTTATTTTACCGTTTATCCTACCGACTGCGCCATATTAGATTAGCATATTTTTTTCTATTCCATTTGGATCTTGCGGACTTACAACAGAAGGAAAGAGCTGTAATAGAAAGCAGCAAGAATAAAACACTCAAAAATGATCGCCGTTTTTCCGTAAATTTCTGTAATTTGGTAATTTGAAAGGCAAGGTCTTTCTTGTCTTGCGACTATTCACTAGGGATTCGTATTGTGTTTTGTAATGCATAGTGGTTATCTTATTTTGCAAAAACCTAAGCAGAAAGATGTCGACAGAATATGGGTACCCAAAACTGGTTCAGAATTGTTCAAAAATACAATCCATATCCGATTGGAAAAAAAGTAGTCGGTAAATTCGATGGTTGCTGCCAATATAACCTCAAAATCAATTTTGTTTGTGTTTATAATATTTTATTTATTTATTAATGTAATTTATTAATTAATATCAACAAACTGAGTGACAACAAAATATTATTGTTCCTAAAATCAGTAGGAATGTTTGGCTAGAACGGGAGGTTATACAACTCACAAATAAAGACATAGAACAAAACGCATTTATCCAAACCTTTTGTAAAACGCCTCGAAATTTAAATCCAAAACCAGTTTTGGAATATTCCGCAGTTATAATTTCGTACTGTGGTATAAACTTACTTGTTTTTAAACTAAAGGTTAATTACTGCGATAGAGATACAGATAGAGAACGTTTTTTTAAATCAAATTGATTCAACCCAAAGTGGCCAGAATTCATATGCAACTCATATGGGAGCGAAGAGTAATAAGTTTTTATTAACTTTTTGGCACGAGAGAAGCTAGTCACTGAAGAAGCATATACTACATATACATTTTCTACGTCCATAAGGTTTTGGGTACATTTTTGCATAAATACATCAGCTCATCAGAACTCACAAATCTGAAAATCATCATATAAGTCTTTTATTGGGAGAATGGGGTGCCCCTAGTGAAATTATTTACATATTATTTAATCTTGGAAGGTTTAAATACATCTTCGGAAAAAATATTTTACAGAAAACATTAGTATATGTGTTTCCAGGAGAATTGGTTCACAAAGACTTAGACACAAGTTTTAGCGTTTTTTATTTATTACCTTCTGGTAATTTTAGAATATTTAAGAAATTGCAGATAAAAACAAACTTGTCTTTAATTATTTTCGAAAACCGTAATGTAACAATGAACAATGAACAAATGAACAATAATAATAATAAACAAAAATTTCACCTGAAATTTAAAGGTGAGTATTCAAAAAATGGCTAGATAATATAAGCAAACTTAATATTTATGTATAAACAATGCAAGTGATGTCATTTTGATAGATTTGCAGAATTTTCTTTCAATACAATAATTACCAAGAGATAATAGATAAAGAGCCCTACATATTAAGTATTAAACTAAACCATTTAAACTTAACAATTTCAGCAATCAAATATTAATATTTATATAATCAAATTTTTTTAATAACACGGTAAGTCATCGTTTATTTATAAACCAAACGATATGGCAAAACAAAAAAACTTTCTATATTATTGCATATTTTACCCAACAAAGGTCATATTGTCTACATTGCTCATTATCCATTACCAATTACAATTAGTTAGATGGATTTTGCTGTTTAACTTTAGCAGAAGGCTTACCAAAATATTCGCTGTTAGGACAGCCGGTCAGAAATCAAATATCATTTGGGTTGGCAGTTTTCTTTTATTTTACAATTTATCCTACCGACTGCGCCATATTAGATTAGCTTATTTTACTCTATTCTATTCGGATGTTGCGGACGTTGCAACAGACGGAAAAAGCTGCAATAGAAAGCAGCAAGAGTACGTTCTTGCAATTCTGTAATTTGAAAGGCAATGCCTCTCTTGCCTTGCGACAACTCTGAAAATATTATTGTTGCTAAAATCAGTACGAATGTTTGGCTAGAACGGAACCCAAACCTCTTGTAAAACGCCTCGGAATTTAAATCCAAACCCGGTTTTGAAGAATTCGGCAGTGATAATTTCGTACTGTGGTATAAACTTAGTTATCTATAAATGAAGAGTTAATTACTGCGGTATCATTGCCAATGTCGCGCATTATCATGACACTGGACGCACATCGTACGGATAAAAACAAAAATGTCGCCAAAATTGCACCATCTGTTTTTGCGACCAAATAACAATGGATCAATCAATCATCGCGCAACTGGGTACCAGATACGGAGGCAGTGCAAGGATAAATAATTGTTTGACTTATCGTGTAGATATACTGCTAATTCCCGATTAACGCTCAATAAAGTGAGTCGAATGACGATTTGAGGGGAAATTTTGTAAACAAGATACCCGACGATTCTAAGTAGGTATCTAATTTTTATCTTATCGGAAAGGTATCAAGGTGGGTCACACTCGCTGTGATACCTTGGACGTTTACATACCGCGCTTGACCTACATTGAACGGAATTTTTTTAGGAGTTTTAATTTACAATTTAATGCGTCTTAATTTGTTAAAATGCAACGCTCGCCTAATTGGCAATTATAGACGCAATTAAAGAAAAACTTACACGCAAAATTTGACTGGGACACGCATACACACACCACCAAACTTGAATATTTTAAAGAAATTAGGTTGTATTTTAACTTAAACTGTTTTGCGTTTAGATTAGTTTATTAAAAAGTTTGTATAAATGAAAGGTAAAAGATCCTTCAAACTTTTTGTCGTGCCATCTATTCAATGAGTAATTTGTTTGAATAAATATGGGGGATATTTGTGAACGATAATTTTCTGACAGACACATCAAATGGAGATTTCAGTTCTTTTCCATCGAATGCCAGTTTAATTTAAAAAAAAATAGGACCAGACTTATCTGTTACTATAAGAGTATATTTTAACAGAAATAGCATTGATGTGGCCAAAAGAAGACCACTGAAAATGTGTTCGAACGTATCTACTATTTACAAAACTTCTGGAATCCTTCTGCATTTATTGTTGTTGAGTCGAACTTGCTAACGTTTTAGTCTAAGAGCCAGTGGGCGGCTACTTGCATGTATTTGACTAAGCCCAAAGCGGTGGACCCAGGTACTGCGCAGGTGAGATAGGTATTGGCACACCATTACCATGCGGTTAACATTATGGCAGACAGTTTTGGAAATGCTCAAAAAAATAAAATTTTGAAAGTATTTGACCATATCTGCCATTGACATATATTATTCGTTATAGTTAAGCTCATATTAATAACGGCAAACGTTTTTATTGAGTACACTCCTCACTAGATAACAAAATCTTTACTATTACCCGGTCAGATGTATTACGATCGCTGTTTTCCATAAATTTAATTCCCTTTTTTTTTTTCACTATATGTATAGAAATTAATACTTTCTTTGTACTTTATATACTAAACCTTATAAGATTGTTGATAAATGAAGTAGATATATTACGAAATAATCTGAAATCTTGGGGTATAATGTAAGTA